TTGTGGGCAAGATATACTAATCTCAAGCTTACAGAAATGAGCGAAACTTCTTCAATTGCCTTATCATGGGAAATTTTTGACCAGTAGAATGCCAGCAGCATGTATTTATGTTGGGGGCGTCGATTTCTCAGTCCAGATAATCTCGAAAAACCTACTTGAAAACATGCACAGGGTAAGCAACATTTATCCCCTACAGATGCTATGTTTTCAAAAGAATTCGTTCGTTTACGAATGAATTATGGCCAAGGAAGTTTAAGCAATGAAATTTCGATTAAGTGCAGTTGTGCGAGATGCTGGTGAAATTCTCACAAATGAGGTAGAAGCTTAATCTCATCACTGATGGAAAGTACATGAAGAAAGCTTCCCAATGTTGTGCGATTATACCAAAAAAGAAATTTTGAGGGAAAAAGTTTTCGGAATGTAGGCCTAGAAAAACGAACATTATTTTTGTACCAATCTATTATTTTGGATTTTTGTCGAAAGGAATAACGGCTGTTACTAGATTTTTGGGAGGCGAAAACTGTATGCAGGTTGCATCACTTTTGAAGCGAAGCCGAAGTGGAAGCATATTCGTTTGTTCTGTTGTATGGAAAATGGTTGTGACTAAATTGCAGTTTATCTGCAAGGAGAGCTTTGAAGATGACTGAGAACTTAGGCGTCACTTCTGGCATGGAGGCCTTAAAGTGTTGATGACATTCGTTACTGTGGGTTCACTGTGGATTTTTCGGGAATGTACAGTCCCGGTAGGAATTTCAATTCGCAAAAGTAAGGATCCTTATGCCAGAGGATCTGAAGGGTGACCAAGGCGCTCTTAACCCCAGGGCCTATGAGTGTTGAAGATATTCGTTATCACATAAACAAACAGAAATTCGTGAAATCCCTTTACTTGTAATAGGAGAACTAAGGCGTGTCTTGACGGATTCCGTCACTTCTGGAGATGCAAAGGTTTTCAAAGATTGGTAAGAGATGCCAGTACTTCTGGTGGGAAATTGAGGTACTTGAGATCCCGCGTCTCCTCTGAAGGGAATTCTCGAAGCGTTGATGACATTGGGTGTACCGCAACATCTTTAGGATGTGGAAGAAAAGGAGACACGTTTGAAAGGGAAAACCAAGGAGTGTCTAGGTTTTTCGGCGTCACTAGAGCGAAGCTTCAGAATTTGAGAATCTTTGCACTACATGGAATTGCAGGGTGTAAACCGCTTTACTTCCAGCGAGAAATCTTGAAGTAAAGGTGAAACTCTTTGCATATGTGGAGTTTCACAGCAGAAGTTTGATACACATCTGGTAGGGGGCCTTCAAGTGTAAAAAGCGTTTTGACACACTGTATGGACTTTGGAAGTAATTCCTGTTTTCTTGGTAAGAGAACTGGAGGGTATCTGAGGGGCTTTGTTTTCTTGCCTCAGATAGCATTGGAATAAAGGAATTGAATTACTATAGTGACTGTGAGACAAATGGCGGCTGAGAAGAAACTGAGGGGGGTCTGAAGCGTTCAGCGTCACATCGAAAGAGAAGCTTTAAGAAATCCTCTTTGCATGGAATCCAAGGGAGGAGGGTGAGAGGGAGGGTCCGCATCATTTGACCTAGAAGATTCACTGTGCAGAGTTTTTAATTTTGAATAAAATGTTTAGTTTTGTTAAAAAAGGGGTGTCTAAGGGTTCCGCTTCACTCTGTAGCGGTTTTTTGCGAGGACTTTTGAGGATGTAAAATTATACTCGTACTTCTGGTAGGATACTGAGTCTGGAGGGAAACCTGGGAATGTCAAAGGCATCGGATTCACTGTAAAGAATTTCAGGATGTGGCAGAAATGGCGGTGCTTCTGAAAGGGGAAGCGAGGTGTTTGGAGGCTTCCGCCTCACTTCTAGAGAGATGCCTCAAAGAAGGAAATCTGCATCTCCTGGAATTTGGGGAGGGGGAGGGGGGGGGTGCGTCACTTTGGCAGAAAGCATTGCGATGAAAAGGGAAATTCTTTGCACTGTATGCAATTCTAGGGAAGAGAGTTTCGCGCTAGAAGGTCTCTGAGAGTTTGAACCTTTGAATTCCTGACAATCACTGGAACTTTAGGAAAACACTGTCCTGCTCCCCGGTCAAATGTGGAAACCTTTTTCTTGTTGAAAAAGACCTGACAATTTTTACGACAATGCACGTTCAACGAAATATCTATTGCAGCTTTTCATGAGTTTTTCAAATAGTTTGAAGTAATTCTATTTAACCTTCCAAAGCTGCAAATTGTACACTTTGATCTCGCTGGACATTTGGCTATGAATTTCCGAAAAGCCTCGTCTCTGAGGAGTACCATATTGAATAATCTCAATTTCACACCCAGCAGTGAGCAGATTTTGGCTAAATGACTGCTCAATGATGACTGAGGCGGGATACTGTTATAGAGAATATTTTAGCGGCAGTCTTCAGAATGTGAGATTAACTTGAAGTTTTTCATGCCACGCAGGTTTGTCAAGAAATAAATGCCAGATTTACGAACAAAGAACACACGAAATGCGTAAAATTAGTTCCTGAATGTTTACATTTTGACGGTAAGTCTGTAGCTACAGAAAAAGCGATGTGCAAGCTTTAGTCGAATATTATGCTTAGCCCTTTTCCGGCTAAGAGGCACACCATTAGAAGATGAGCTGCGTTTCGGCTTGGATCAGATGTGCTACATAATATAATAGATGATTGGTGGTGATTTCAAATATGAAAAATGGATCCAGCTCTTGCTAGGATGCTTTTGCAGTAAGAACAACAAAGGTTGAATTATAGCTATCCATTCATTGCTTAATGCCTGTTTCGTTAAAAGTACGGTATTGTGGCAACAGTCTCGAACTCCTGTTTTATCATATTAAGTGAAAAATCGTCAAATTGATAGATCTGTTTGCTGTAACTCATAGTCGCAAGAATGCTGCAGCTTCGAATGTATCTGCCCCAACCCACTTGCTAGCGACCCGTAGGGTCGCTAGTCTTATATATAAAGCTGAATGTCTGTTTGTCTGTCTGTCTGTCTGTCTGTCTGTCTGTACGTATGTTCCGAATAGAAAATTCATTTCTGAACCGATCCGGACCAAACTTGGCACACATACACTACGGGCCCCGGCGGGTGTCATAGGCTACTTTTCGTCATCGATCGATATCGATTTTATCGATTTTTATCGATTTTTTTGCTGAGTTCACCTACGGGGCTGGGAGTTGGCACAGGGGGGTAATCGAGCATGGGGATTCCGAATACAATATTAGTTTTCAGGATTATCGATTACTTTTATCGATTTTATCGATTTTTTTGCAAAGTTTGAGCTACGGGGCTGGGAGTTGGCACAGGGGGGTAATCGAGCATGGGGATTCCGAATACAATATTAGTTTTCAGGATTATCGATTACTTTTATCGATTTTATCGATTTTTTTGCAAAGTTTGAGCTACGGGGCTGGGAGTTGGCACAGGGGGGTAATCGAGCATGGGGATTCCGAATACAATATTGGTTTTCGGGATTATCGATTACTTTTATCGATTTTATCGATTTTTTTGCAAAGTTTGAGCTAGGGGGCTGGGAGTTGGCACAGGGGGGTAATCGAGCATGCTGATCATCCCCAAGGGGGTGATCAGCATGCTCGATTACCCCCTGTGCCAAATTCCAGCCCCCTAGCTCAAATTTTCAAGAAATCGATAAAATCGATAAAAGTAATGGACGATCTTGAAAACTAATATTGTATTCGTAATCTGCATGCTCGATTACCCCCCTGTGCAAACTCCCAGCCCCGCAGGTCAAACTTTACAAAAAAATCGATAAAATCGATAAAATTAATGGACGATCCTGAAAACTAATATTGTGTTCGTAATCAGCATGCTCGATTACCCCCCTGTGCAAAATCCCAGCCTCGCATGTCAAAATTTACAAAAAATCGATAAAATCAATAAAAGTAATCGATAATTCTGAAAACTAACATTGTATCCGGAATCCCCATGCTCACTTCCCCCTGTGCCAACTCCTAGCCCTGTAGGTGAACTCTGCAAAAAAATCGATAAAAATCGGTAAAATCGACATCGATCGATAACGAAAAGTGGACTATGACACCCGCCGGGGCCCGAAGTGTATGTGTGCCAAGTTTGGTCCGGATACGGCGGAGCCGGGTAAGCCAGCTAGTGCTTTATAAGATAACCAGTGCGTCACCTCTGCTTCGCAGAGGCTCGCACTGGCTCTACTATCCATATGCCTCATTACTTTCCCATAATGATGGCATTGAAACTCACCGCGCAGTGGCCGACTACCACGAGTAGGATGTAAACAACCACTCATTTTAACTGCTTTTTCATGTGAGATCGGTGATTCCGCGAAGATGGAACTTTTCGCCGAAGAACAAATGCAAATATGAGTGGGTTCCTGGATTTTTTATGGTTTGGTAGTTGCCATAAGGTCAATAGCCACCGTGAGCAACATTTCTGCGCAAAAATCTTCTCAAATGCGCCAGTAGAACGTTTTCAAATTAACCATTTACGCAACCAATCCATTTTGGCGTCATTTTCGCAAAGTAGTAGATTTTTGCCCATTATTTGGGCTAGAGTTCAAGGTTTGCACATTTACTTGTCAAACACCTCAACGACTTCGCAAAAAGTGCTGATAGGGACCTAATTTTGTGGGTCGGAAGCGAAGTGGACCGTTTGACTCGCAATTTCTGTGAGTTCCACTCAACGAATCCGCTCATGCTTTTGCATGGTGGAGTTTTGTGCTGGTAGCATGTGCTGTGCAAAATTTGGGCCCAGGACGTTTGCTAGAACGCGCTCCACGAATTTAGTAACAGACACACACACACAAAGTCACATAAACATCCTTAGCCCGTTATTATAAGTCATGATATACATTTCATATGGAAACGCACTTCGATCAGGTATCCTTCCCTTGTTAGTACTTTATTCATGTTTTCATTTTTGTGTTGCAACATAAAAGAGGGTAAGAGATGTTCTGCAATTTAGCAAGAATCTAGTCTGCTCATTGATATACTAGATAATCTTACAGGACCGGCGCGCATCGAAAGAATTTGGAGGATCTAAAGGAACAAGTCCTTATTCCAAATCGAGAAGTGGCTCAAAGAAAAAATCTGTTTCTCCTTACTACGATCTAGCAAAGCTCCAAAAAGGCACCCGAAAGAGATGATAAAAGAGTTACTGGAAGCAATTTAAATGTAAATATGACTCCATCAAATCGTTTTTACTTGCTGCTAATAAACGCATTTTTGTTAGATAAATATACTGTTTATACCTATCAATTGGATCAATTTTGCACGATAAAGTTAATGTTATGTGCTATTTTGTAAGGCGATGTTTACAAACAGTACTTAACTCCTCTGCCTCCTTTGTCCACTTGACTAGCTTCACCAGCTTGATGTGCATGTGCGACAAATCGTGAATATTAGTAAACACGAATTCAACAAAGCCTTCCAAAATTGATTCCTCCAAGTGAATAGACATCGCAGAAGAGAACAAGTAGAACAAGTAAAATTTAGCCTGAAGCGGTAAAGCAGCGAAATGACTGACCGACCACTCGCGGATCGGCCAAAGAAATAGAAAGCTTATACGTAACTATGTAAAGTTCGATCTCGGTTTAGAAACGGTGTTTCGTCTACGTTGTATTGTACGTTTAACACGGGCTGTTTACATAAAACCTATGAACAATTCACTAACAAACGGAAGTTGAATGTTCAAACCAAATACGAAATTAAATTGTATTTATTCATAGACGATTAAGGTAAACGACTCGGAAGTAGTTTTTTTTGAATCTCTTGCATTTCCGTTTCCAGATCTCATCCATGGGCCACATTCGTCGACCTCTTACTGCAAATTTTGTAATTAAACTCAATCAAAGATGTGCGACTGTTAAAGGAACAAGTGTTCTCAATGAAGAGCTATGTGTAGGATTTTCTTATGCCGAAACCAGGCTAATTGGTGGAACTTCTTTATTGACTCATTGTTTCAAACAATTCGTCTTCGTCAGGAGTCTGAAAAGGATCGTAGGTACTCGTACTTTCACTATACCGCCAAACGTCTCGTCAAACGCTGCCCGTTAGACCTTCACCTTAGAAGACGAATTGTTCGAAACGTTGAGTCAATAAAGAAGTTCCACCAATTAGCCTGGTTTCGGCATAAGAAAATCCTACACAACGATCAAAACGAAAATGCCCAGGTTCAAAGAAGAGAACACATGGAAGAGCTATGTGCACAAAGGCGAAATTTTCTTTTATCTCATCACTGTACTGGAAAACTGCAAATTGCTAATCTATAAACCTAAAAAGTCATGTAGAAAGTACAAGAGATATTGTTTATAGGATCAATATATCTCGCAGATTCCGGTTTTCCTGCTGAGAACATTTCGGGAACGGGTGGCGCTTTGACTTGCTGGATACTTTTAGGGAAAAGCAAATGGAAATTTCTTTCGGGTATAAAGTTAGCCTGGAAAAAGCTGAACATAATTTACTAGAGTTACTAGAATGAAAGCCTATGTCAGAAATTATTTCTTCAAATATCTTCGTCATTCTGCACAAGTCAGGAAAGGCCGCTGTTCTACAAGCAACAGGATCTCGCGCAACGGGAGCATAACTGTGCTTTAAATCAAAAAGGCTTGCTGATAACGGACACAATGGCCCGTAGTAAACCTCCTCAGCTGATCTGATCCCCTCAAATGCAGTCACAAACTAATCTTAAAACCCTCCTGCTCTGCTATAAGAATGGATGGTGAGCTGACAGTTGAGCAGCCGGTTAGCTGCCGCGGTGATTTGCGCTGCCTGCCGTAAGCAAAACTGTTGTCATCGGCTCGCCTTATGCAGATAGTGTGTCTGCAAGAGCAGAGAAATATTTCGTTACTGGTGAGTAGCTTACGGGACTCGTCAGAGGGCATAATTCTGCGGATGACTGCGCGAAATTGCACATATATAAAGCTTTCGAATCGGAAAGCTCACCATGCATTCTTATAGCAGAGACGATCATTCTTATAGCAGAGACGATCTCCTACTTTTGCTGCAATCAGCAGTAGATGATTGCAGCAAAAGTAGGAGATCGTCTCTTAGTCTAGTCTATAATCTTTTCACTTACTTCGCTGGTTATCTCGACCAAATTTTCATTTTACACTAAAAGCTCAAAATTGAAAATTGTCTCTCTCCTTATATTCTAATTGTTATGAGTTTTATGGATATATTAGGTTGGAAACTAAGTTTGCAACTTATTTGATAACTTTCCTCTCTCTCGACTTGATGCAGTCAAATTTTGCCATTATGTAGGCTATGACGTGAGCTACAAGCGCAGCTGCTCACAATGAGGGTCACAGTAGGTATATGGCTTGAAGAGAGAAAATAAAATTTGACAATTATGGTTGAAACTTGGCGTAGGGGTGTTATCCGACATGCCGATCACGAAAACGATACTGAAGTAGTGTGATAGGGGCTTTTTATAAGGCTAGTGTAGGTCTACCGTAAAGGGCTTCATTTTAAACAAGGAAAGAGGCGTTGATATAACAAACGAATATGATATTCGTATTTGGCAGGCCAAATAACCTTACTATAAGTCTCGACAATTTGAGCTTCTGACTCTTCAATCATTAACGGTCGTCCCCAGCAGCCCTTGCCTAGCGACTCGTTCGAATTTGTGTTTACACCAAAACTCGACATTCTATTGAATTTTGTTTCTTTTTTACTAAGCCGAATGAGACAAGCTCTAGCAAATATTCGTACACGATTAAGGATTACTGCGCATGGTCGTCTAGGCTTTACTGGCTTTATTTTGGCTTGAAACCCCAAAAATTCTCAAAATTTACTAGTTTTTGAAAAAATGCCTGAAACTTTTCTATTTTGCATTCTTAATTTAAACAGTTTGTGCGTAATTGTAACACATTACTCTCTACATATTACCATTATGCGCCATATCTAAAGAGATTGAAGTTATGGAACTAGTTACAAAATTTAGTTTCCAGCCTAATAAATGCAGAATTACTGCAATTTAGAATTTCTCTGTCTTAAATCCTTGAGAACGACCAAGCACCATCGATTTTTCGGCAGTGTCCGCGATCAAAGATTGCCCTGGCAATATAGAAAAACGTGGCACTTGGTTGTCTCAAACCGTGGAACTATCACGTGTATCGCATACTTTAACCATTTGATCAAACCTACACAAAAACTGCAGCTGTTTTTCCTTCTAGAACACGCTTTCCTATCGTGTCTACAAAGCCATCCGCAACCGGATCGATGGCTCGTTTGATATCGCGCTGGGCGCCGTAACCGCAATATAGGCCCGCCTCAGGGAAGATGCAGTGACAAGGTCCACTACGGGCCAGTGATATGACACTGCGCATGAGGGTTCTTGAATTACTCTAAGGAAACATTCAGGACTTTGTATGAATAAAAGCCATGACATGTTTTCCGTAACTAGCCGGAGCTGCTTTGAAGGCAGCGTCCCGGCAAAACTTCATTTTGCAGTCGTGAAGGTTACATTTGCCCTTTAGGTTGCATTTGGAATGACAAAATCTGTTCGAAGTGGACTCAAATCATTCGTTATGTAAAGGCTATTTATTCATCATCATTAAGTTATACTTCCACTAAGTGGTACAATCAAGTTGATTTTGGACCAATATAATGCACCTGCAATGCCAAAAATTGATGAGAAATTTGCGCGTGAACAAAAGTTAGGTGATACTGGCCATTTCGGGGCGCAAATTGCTAACATTGCTTGAGTGGCTATTCCATTACGCGCGAAATTTACCGCATTTTCTCTTCACCGCAAGTCACTACATCAATCGGAAAGGCTACTCGACTGTGACTATCAAGAAAAAACTTACAAATTATGCTCTTTCCTCCTTCCTTTGTGATGCTTATGCTTCTTTTTAGGTTTCCTGCTTGTAGGTCTTTGAAGAACGGGATTGGGCTCGACAGGAGGCGACTTGCTCTGAGATGAAGGGTTTTTCTTGAGCGAAAAAGTTTTACTCTTTGATGAGATGTTTTTTTCGAGCGGTGGAGTTTTACTGGGTTCCAGAGATCCAACTGAATTAGTAGGAGTCCTTGCTAAATCGCTTTGTTGTTTGTCTTTTCTCCTTTGACGCCTGTATTCACGGCTTTCTTTCGGAGTACCCTGAAATTGACGGCTCGAATAATAGGTCAGGAATATGCTTTTTGACTCGAGTTCTCTTATAAAACGGTATCGCCAGTTGCAACTTGGATTGTCATCAGACCTACTCAAGAAGATTTCGAAGTGTGAGTTCATAGTGTTGAATCAAAAAATGGTCCAACAACCTTTCTGTTCACAACGGCGCTTATAGAGCAGCATCTTTTTAGTTGTCTCTTGCAAAAAAAAGTTTTCGTCCATCTACTGAAAATTCAATTGAAAATGTTAACGAAATTAAAGCGCTTTCAATGACCGTACAAATAAAAATTTATTACAATGATAGAGAGTGGTCAACTTAGAATTGAACTTTGTAGTGTGCTACATTAGGTTGCAGAAATACAAGTTCGTTTTCAAGCAAATTTCTATGGAGAATTTTCTTCTCGTTTTTACTCCATGATATGTGGAAACTCCATTTTTTACCATCATAATTACTCAGAATTTTCTACTATTGGTTAAGGAGGTTACGCCTAAATATGGCCAAATTTTTCGAAAACTCATTTCGTGACTTTCCAAGCATCTTCATGCTGTAATAAAGAGTCGAGTCTCAAGAAGAAACTCAACTTTTCCGCAGTGGATTTTAGCCCCAACGTTCTCCAATGTTTGGAATTTTTTGCTTACAGGGAAATGGTCAGAAGACGAAGTGGCCAATCCAAGCAAGCAACCTGCCTACCATTGATGCAACCCTGATTTCGAAACTGTATTCCATATCTTGACGCCTTTGCGGACGAAGTTATGAGCAGTGTTATTGCGAGAAAATCGTACATAAAAATTGCGAAATTGAGCACATTGTTGCACTTTTCAACTCAACTTTAGGCTATGAAAATATGAAGTAACCTAGCTACATCTTTTGGCTCAGTATTGAGCCGAACTGCCAACTGTCTCTGTACTGCCGAATTTGCGCTTTGCGTGCATGTGGTCTCAGCAAGATACACTTTTAACGGCTCATATAACTTCGCTCATATAGGCGCTAATCAGATTAGGAAGCAGATTCAAAGTCAGCGTGCTGCTTTCAATAATCTGCAGCTTGTTTGGATTGGCCGCCTCGATTTCTGACCATTTACTGTAGTAAACGAAAATCTTTCACATTTGTAAATGAGAAAACTGGGGTTTTCACTTATTTTGGCTTTTTTCTCAGAAATAAATTCTATTCAAACAGTGTTCACATCCAACTCCCATTCAAGTGCTCATTCCTGCGATACCAAAACTTACAAAAGTTTGTATGCAGCATTTGTAGGAGCCGCATAAGCGACTGTGATTATTTTGACAACCTAATATTATGATGGCTTGAAAGAGATCTACTGCAAACATTTCAACGCCTAATGTTGCCCAACGTTTACCAGTATTTTCGTAACTAGTTGCATCGACTTAACCCCATCGTATGCTATAAAGTCGAATAAGCGTTATCAGGGAATGTCAGATGTGGTCAATTTGAATAGCTACATACCGTAGGATGCAGCGTAGAGCGCCAAATCCAAGTCTGCCTTTCTTATCTGCTGAACGTCTCGTTAAGGAAGTTATGAGCGATTTCATTGCAAGATGATTGCAGTGTGGCCTGTATAAAGTGACATACCTGCATGCTTTCGGCCCACCATCAAGCCAAATATGGCATTGTACGACCAACTCTGCACTTCGCATACAGATTTTTCTAAGATATTATACCTTACTGGTTCGGCCACAAAGACGTTTAGCAGCTAAGGAATCAGAATCAGCGGTCTATGCTGCTTCCAATAGTATGCAGCTTGTTTAAATTGGCCATCTCAGTTTCTGACCATTCCTTGGTTAGAAGAGTTTGAGACTTGCACCTTACTGACTCGGATTTATGATATGCTACAAGCTTCTTCAGCAGTGAGCAACCATTTTTGCACGTGCGAACTTACTGCTTGAATTATGTCTACATCTGTGCCAATGTCGACAATTTCATTCATATCTTCGTCAAATTCCAATTTATCTAGACGTTCTGAACGATCGCTTTCTAATGCATGCCTCTGAAATGGCAAGATAACAAGTTAACTTGGATTGCGTATTAAAACAAATTTATATGAGAAGACAACAGCATACCACTTTCCCTTTCATGTCTTTCAAAACAAGTCTTCCTCCATAACGATGCTCAGCCATATTAATTATCAGACTGCGAGGTTGAACAGGTATTTCCGGAGTGAAAGGCGGAGACTTTGAGAGCTCCTGTTGTATGGTACTTGCAGTTTAAGTATTCGTATGATAGTGAAATGATGCTGTTTCCTAATGAAGCAAGCAAACGTCAGCATTTTACGGAAGCGCTGGAGAAGCTGAGAGATCTACACGACTATAATGAAGTCTTTCAAAGAGGTCAGGGTACCTAGCCTACATGGCCTACAGCAGCTCTCCCAATTCTAATTTGTTAAAGAAAGGAATCAAACTTGTATGTCTTCCGCGCAGGTTATGATGAACAAGAAATCACATTTCAGCAATGATACCTTCCCCAAAGTGAATAATTCACCATACTGCAAGGTCGCAGCTACTCTTCCAAATTTGTCTAAATTCATTTGATTTGTCTGAAGTGACATGACCCAGTCTAGCCACAAGTAACTCAGAAGAAAATGCGGCATACCACGACAGTGACAATGCCTTGGCATGCGCGGTGAGAGACGAATAGCTTCATTCATATCAGAGGATTGGTCAAATATATTATAAACGGTGTCCCAAAAATGTGCCTACTATCAACTTGTGAATAACTTCCTTGCTATAAATTATCTGAAAAGTTAAGGGTACCACTTTGTAGAAATGGCTTTAACTTACAAAGAAAACCCAACTCAGCTTGGCCTTTTGGAAAAAGACTTATATATTCTGAATCTGCTCCGAAGCTGATTCCAAGTTTGCTATTCTTAGATGCGGTGCTTTAGTCTAGAGTTTCTGTGCAAAACTTGCATACTTATCGAGTCACTGGTATTTTTGGGACATCGAGTAAACGGCCATTATTGCTCATCTGGCATCACGGCACCAGCATCTAAGTGCCTATACACTTGGGTAGAGCTTTTTTAGTGAGAAAAATTAATTTGTGTTATTTCGATGTTTCCAGATTTTCACCTACAGGCAGACTTCCCATGTTTAGTAAGCCAAAGTTTGAAGTGATTCAGAATATCTAGTCCCTTGCGAGAAGGTCGAACCAAGTTAGCTTATTAGCAGGGCTCGGCACGAAATGGCTTACAAGCAAGCTGGATATCGTTTTTGGGACGAAAAGCAAAGGGGGTTTCGTTTTTGTGACCGAAGAGACACGGAAAAATGGCGACGGCGACCTTTTTTTTTAGTCGACGTTTCGTTTTTGGGGGATTTTGGGGAATTTTTCAGCTTTTTAGAGGAAATTTGGTTGAGGGTCAAAGGGGACCTCGTAAAAATTCCCAAAAGTCAAGGGGGACTTCGTTTTTTCCATTTTCATCTAGCCACCTCGTGCCGAGCCCTGCTTATTAGAGCGAGTCACCGATTTCTTAATTACTTTAGAATTGGTAGGAATTTCCGGCATGTCACCGTTAAAAGAGCTGCATTACAAATAATTTTTGGAAAATCTGGAGCTTGTATAATAGGTTTTCATGGATGCTGGGTTCAACAGCATACTTTGTACAGCACTGGGAAGCTAAGCAGTGTAATGTCTTGTTATGAGCATCAAAAAAACACTGCTATGGCTCACCCGGATAACATTTCAACGAAGCGTTGTTGTAAGGTGCAAACTTCATATTTAAAATCAGCAACTCTAATTAGCCTACTGTGAGAGTTTTGCGATCGTATTATTTTCTTTCTAAATCATAATATGGTCCGCCATAGCTTGAAACCCCTTTTCAAATTTCCTACCGCAACGCTACGCTATTGAAGAGCGATTGCTGATTCGCTCTATCCTGAAAATGCATGTTGAAGCCAGATCTACATAACGGTACCTGAAACTTGTCCGAGGACTTTATGACAGGAAAGTTACCAACAATCAAACAGTGGGCACATTTTCTGGAACACCCTGTATTTAAAGACACTCTCAGCGCTTTGCGTCTATGTACCTTGCTTTCCACAGCTATGTTGTAATTTCAATAGGTTGACGCTCAATTTTTGTACCAAATATGTCAAAACCGCAACAAATCGAATTTTTCTGTGTTCAAGGTGCAAGGTACCAAGCAGAGCAGAATAAGCTCTACAGGATGATATTCAAAACTTTGTTAATTTAGACGCTCCTCCCTGTTCAAAGCTCAAAGCAGGAAAGATCCGAATGCTTACGAAATCAAAAAAACCAAGATTTTTTTCCGGAAACTAATGAGAAACTCTTGCTTGCGCTTGCATATACTCTCCAAATCAGGCGCTTAAAGTGCGGTATTCATGTATTTAAGATTGAGAACGGGAAAACTCAAGAACCTGGTAATTCCTTCTAACTTGTTAATTGAAAAGGTAACAGCTTGAAAAATTGTGAGACATGATGTTTAGCTGATTTTCAACATATACGGATTGCTTTTAGGAGGACTACATTACGGGATGTTCGAACATGGGCGAACATAGTAAGCCGTTTTTGACATTGGATGAAAGGGCTGTTGTTTTGCTGCTTTGCTGGAAATGGCATATTGAGGAGTGCGAATTCATGAATGTGGTTTCGTAAAGATAAGAGTCTGTGATTGTTGCTGCTGAACACGCAATGTGAAAAGCTGGGGGCGACCCCATTTAAATTAAATAAACGAAGTACAACCAGCCAATTGGAAGCTGAAGAATTGCTTAAGCAAAAAAAACATTTAATGCATTTTCTACCCGAGAACATGATGATGTGAGTTTCGAAACGAAGTGCTCTAGAAGGAAAAACGGAGTTGATGGTTCAGCCCATCAACAATGGGTTGTCTGAATATGAAAACAAAGGTAAGGAAAATTTGTAGATGAAAGGCGAATTTATGTCTGTAGATGCATTTGAGTTTTTTGGACTTGTCCTCTTCAGACCAGCCACCCAACCATCATTTAACATTGAAATCTCACCACCCTTAAAGGCACCGTCCACCCAAAATCTCGAATTCAATGTTTTTGTTGCCTTCAGGCCTTCTGAAAGCCCTGATTCCGAATATGGAGTCGAAAATCCGCGAAACCCCCAAAAACCCCTGTTTCGAGAACCCTCTGAAAAGCGCAGGCAAGATAAAGCATGCAAGTGGGCGGGTGACTAGGGTCGCCCCGCCTACTTTGCTACTTCCGGAGCGGATTTCTCGCTCCAGAAGCAGTCTTTTGCGGCGAAGCTTGGAGGTTTGTCTAGTATGGGGGCCCACACTAGTATGCCATCATAATCTCGCCAACCTCCATTTTGGGTGGACGGTGCCTTTGAGTTAGATATAGACCGTGCCTTGAGGTGGGGTCCGAAAGCTCATCTTGAACAAATTCAAGCAATCTATGCTAAACTGCGCCGAAAGCAAATTTGCAGAAATACGAAGACTTCGAAGTGGCTTTGGGATACGAAACCATAAAGTTTCCGGAAACTATCTGATTTGAGTAAAGGTATTATGGATAGCGGGGCACAAAACTTCAACAAGCAAAATGCACCAAGTCGAGCTGACAAACTGAGAAGAAATTCATATCAACAAAAAGCGTCTTGAGACCCTAACTCCAAATCGGCCTCCTTCACCTGCGGAACTGTTAGAGAAGCTATGGGAACTTGAAATTCAAATTTGTCAAATATTCACACTTGTGTTTGACGGAAATCATTTTGATTTTTGAAGGTCCACTTATTCCTGGTTAGAAGATTTCACATTTTATAAACTAAGATTTCAACAAGCTTACAATTCCGAACGCCCATAATCCTTCTTCCTCGCTTCTGTAACTGGGACTTGGCATCTCTGCTTGTAAGATAGAAGTTAACATGGAACAAGCTTATTATACTTATTAAAAACAGCGCCACTGAACTGTTCTACTGAAAATCCTACACCACGTCTGGTTTTCTGATACTATACATAAACTCTTAAGTGCACTTCGTGCATTTAAGCTCTAAGAGTGAGGTATAATGTAGTGTAGTACAATGCAAATGCTTGATGTGACTATGCTGCTAACTCATTGGCTACACTACTCAAAGATAAATAAAGATACTTGGCAGCTTCACAAACTGTTAGAGACTCTAAGTAAAGCCATAGATGCGAAAGGTGGAGAAATTATTACAGGTGTTATCCTAGTTCGGACTATCCTCGCAATTTACCATCCTACAGGTCGAGGTTATCCACTCTGGATTTGAAAAGTTTGAAGTACAGAAGAATTTTCAATGATTTGGTTTTTTGCTTCCGCATAGTTCGACTAGAAACAAGACTGCGACCCAGTAAATATTGGATTTTCAGACCTTGTAGCAGTCGAGTGGGTGGACTCAATTTGTGTTATAGAAGGCTGGGTAGTAGAATGTTTTCAAAAGCGTTCAATTTTTTTGTTTTTCGAACATCGAGATGGCTACGACTTTTGCCAAGTGAGATCACAGCCAGCAGCAATGCAAAATTATTCCGAAGAAGATTAGCCCGAATCGATATTCTGAAATTTTTAAAGATTCCAGATATTTAGATGGCGTCAACTCAGTTTCTCTTCGACGACTGTTGATACGAAGTAGCCTCCTGCGCTTACCCCGCCATCTGCTTAGTGATATTCGTTGTTTTTTTTTATTTCTTATTTAGTTGATTCGCGTTTTGAGCACTTTTGTTTGCCTAAGCAATCTTGCAAATGTGTTCTCATGCCAGTCGTTCCCGAAATTTTTCAGCTGTATATTAAGCCACTCCTCCACGGGGAATAGCCGTTCAAGGAAGTTGAGGATTGGTGGTCCTTCTGCCTCGAGATCCCCCCTATTCGCTCGCCCAGGGTCCCACGCGAATTCGTTCGTTAAGGGTTAAGTCGGTCAGCCGAGCCCTGGTTTTTCTTTAGCATATTTGCGTCCGGGATAGGGACCAGGATTTCGGTAGTAGGCGCCCCACCGTCTTTAGATAGAGGACGACCTGACCACCCCAGCAAGAGTGCGCCTTGGATTATTCCTTTCACGGGAACATGTACTGTTTCAACATTTGACTTCACTGTTTGTTTCTTCTTTTTTTCGGTGCACTGACAAGTGTAGTTTATAAATAAATAAATAAATAAATAAATAAATTCCTCTGACCCCCTTCATTTTAGGGCTGGCATCTGGCTGACTCCTTTCACCTGAGGTTGAGATTAGAATCAAAGCATAACGGCAGAATCAAACAGCTGTCACAACGGCACTTTTTGTTTGTAAAGGAAAGCCAGCTGTCTTCTCCTCAGACATCAAGACTGCAAGGGAGTATCGAAGCAACAGCGTTTTGTTGAAAAAAATGCATGCTTGAGACCTTGGCTCACTCAAAGTTGATAATGAAACATAATAAAAAATTAGAAGGAAGTCTGATTTTTTGAATAATTCACAGTGCATCAATGAATACACACTGTCGCAAGAAAAAGTTGAGCAAGAGTAGAAAATCTGGACTAGCTAGTGATGGTTGTATGTTAACTGACAAGAATCGTACCGTAGCTTCTTTCACTATAGAGAATAATAACAAATAAAAGAGCGGTTAAATTACTCGTTTCTCAAGTTTTTGAATCATATATAAAAGTTCGAAAAAGACCTTCGTGGTTTGAATTGTTAATTACCCAGAATTGGCTGATATTGTAGCTAGATAAAACTGCTCGTATCTCGCGTTGGTGCACAAGCGCTTTTCCAGTCCAAAAAAGTTTTGCTCCGGGGACCCATAGAAAAGCAACAGCGGGGTGGAGCAAGTTGATACTAAATATCTCCACCATGTTTTTGAAAAACCACGAGTTTGTTCACCCAACAACCTGTATACGTTTGAAAAGCTAGCGAAAGAGGGATTCGAAGTAGTCCATCTCTTTTCCTCTAGCTCCTCTCGACCCAGAGATGCATGGCATTTTAGCCAAAAGCATTGTTTTTGTGAAGAAGCTTTTATGCAAAGAGTGAATGAAGTCGCCTAGTTATCTAATCCTATTACAGCGCAAGACTTGCCAATAAACGTAGACCGTCTCCCTTTTCTCTAGCTTTCCACTTTTTTTTTCAGAAATAGAGCGCAAGGTGATTGCATAAAATCAGCTGATGCTGAAGCTAGATATGAATTTTTGTAACATAATTCACATGAGAGCTGAAAAAAAAGAGACGGTCTACGTCGATTCTGTATGTTCCAAGCTTTCGAATGGCATGTCGACTAATAAAACAAAGTTTTTAAAAAGTCTCTGTTGGATGACCTTCCAAAGCCAAAGCATTGAGAAAATCTTCATATTACACCTCTGTACCATTTATTTTCCTTCTTTTCATTCCATGCTACCATCAGATATGTAAGCTTGCGTCAGCATTCATCTCAAGTCCAGTTGCCCCCTTTACTTTTCTAGGCCAAAAATAGCCAAAATCGCCTTCACCTGGAGGGGACCATGCTTCCCCTACTGCACCTATGTCTCCTACTATCAAATCAGATTGAATCATCTTGTAGTTTTCATACGTCTAGCATGAGCTACGCCGTGAAGTGTTTTACGAGAAAGTTGACATATGCTATATAAGGTCGCATCACCCTGGTTGGGTCCCCATAGGTATGCTTCACGAAGTCCATTATCGCAAGCGATGCACTTGACGCGTGGCGTAATTTTCACGCGTTTCACCGTCGCTAACTACCGCAAGAGAGATGTCGCATGATGCTTACTGAGTCTATATAAAGACTGTAACAAGAACGACACGATAACAGGCGCTTGAGTCTTCACGATAGCACCGGCTGGCCTTGCGCCTTTTCTGCGAAGCCTTTGGGCACTCTTTCTAAGTACTGCTCAACCAAATTTGCACCGCCCAGGGATTATGTCCAGGAGCGCAGCGAGCACAAGTAAAACACTGCGAGGGCTTAATTCGTTGAAATTATGACGGTCCCAAGGAGTCAGCTTGTACATTTAAAAAACAGAATTACCTTCGAAGGTTTGCGTTCTCGAGAATCTATCTCCTTTGAAAGTTTTTCTCTAGATTCCTTAATAGGCTTCACATTTTCGGTAGGCTTGTTTCTATGCAGCTTCTTCTTCTTTCGGTAGAAAAAGTAATAGTATGCGCAAAAGCCCCCGGCAATGGCAGCTGTAGCGATAGCTGTACATATAAATAGTATTTTAACAATCCTAAATATTTCTTAAAGGTTCAAACAAAAAGAAGAATATTACTCACGAGTATCCGCCCTCACTGATCCGTTGCATTGAATTTGAGAAAAGTTTGCAAGACCGAAACTGTCTTCTAAACTAGCAGAAAATTAAGCAGTTGTTTTAGAAAATGTTGTGCTAACAATAATAAGGTGGTAAGACCTTTGTCTGGGCGTCAAACTTGTGCGTGCCAAGCAAGCCAAAGACTCCTTTCGGCCGCTTAAAATGTGCTCACATACATGCAGCGCTATATACGCCAACATGTGCATAGTCTACATACCACATGATTGTAGAAAGGTACGTTAAACCTGAGTATCGTCAAGGAATCTTATAAATGAAACTTGATGTCTGCGTTCGTATTTATGTATGTTCGTACGTTCCGAATAGAACAGTCCATAGTGAACCAATTTGGACCAAAATTTGTACACCCATGTTTTGGGGCGGACCGTAGGGTGCTATTTTAATTTCAACGATTTTTTCGATTTTATCGATTTTTTCGCAATCCCTGAACTGCGGGGTTGGGATTTGGTACAGGGTTAAGAGATCCTCGTTTTAAGGAAAAGCGACCGTCGGAAAAAACTCCCATTGCTTTTGTCAATTATATGGTGTTTTTTTGCGAACTCATAAGGGAACGATACTTGATGTCTGTGGGCTTTCGAAATAAGATAAATATTATTACACTCGTCCTGGAACACTAATTCCGAATTTGTTTTCCCTTTCCGCTAGTCCTTTTTTTGAAAGAAGTTATGAAGGACGCGCAAAGTTTGCCCGCCAGAGGGAGTGCGATCGGAACGTCGATACCGCCGGTATCCCGTGGCGTAGTATTTGGTATGATAGCCTCACAAGTTGATGCAGTTGTAGGTTCGTATACTTCTGTGTTTTCCAATTTTACGTTGCCTCAATTAAGCTTCCTCTTGAAAGTTACGAATCCTCGGTAAATGCACGCCCTGACTTTCCAAAAAAATGTGGAAAATTAAGAAAAATGGTTATTATTTGCGTCAAAATATATCCATCAAGACCCTATAATAACGGGCTAAGGATTGTTTACGTGTTTTTGTGTGTGTCTGTGTGTGCGTCCGTCTGTTACGAAATTCGTAGAGCATGTTCCAGCCAGTGTTCTAAACCCAAATTTTGCACAGTGCATGCTCCCTTCCGGGAAGTCTAACATGCAAAAGCACGAGTAGATTCGTTGAGTGGATCCCTCAGAAATTGCGCGCCAAATGGATCCACCTGGCTTCTGTCCCGCAAAATTGGGTCCATATCACCGCTTTTTGCAAAGCGTGGGTGCGTTTGGTTAGCAAATGTGCAAACGATAGACTTTAGCCCAAAAAGTGGTCAAAAGTTTACTACATAACGAAAAGGGCGCCAAAAAGAATTGATTGCGTAAATGGTCAATTTGCCAAGGTTCTAGCCAAGCATTTCAGAAGATTTTCGCACAGAGATGTAGCTCACGATTACTATTGCCTTTATGGCGACTACCAAGCCATGACAAATTCAAAAACCTATTCAAATTTGCGTTTGTCTTCCTGTGAAAATTTTCATCCACGCGAAATCACCGATCTCATGTGAAAAAGCTTTTTAAATGAGTAGTTGTTTACATTTTATTCGTGGTAGTCGGCATAGCACGGTGAGTTCCAGTGCCACAATTCTACGAGAATGAGTAAGGCAGCTAGATAGTAGGGCCAGTGGAGCCTCTGCGAAGCAGAGGTGACGCACTGGTTGATAATAATTCGGCATCCCGGCCAATTCTAAACCCCAGTACAAAACGCTTTTCCAGTGAATTTCTTTATCCGCTGCGCTCATTGCGAACAACTCCTTTAATCATTTTGTCATAGTTCTTCATCACTGTGTTTGATAAGCAACATCTTCTATTCAGTTTCGTTTTGATAAGCACCTTCAATACAAACACATTCTCGTATAAAAATGACTCCCCGTTGGATTTTCAAAGAGTAAGGGCTGAATTTACCTCGAGCATACATTCAAAAAGAAGCCTGTTCGAAGCAATGCACTGCAAAACACAAAAGGATCCGAACTTACACACCATCCACTTCTGAGAGTACGATTAACCACTACTACCACAGCGTACCAATTTGTTTGGCCGTTGCGATCGTATTTCACTTGGGGGCCAAACCCCTATACAATCTGCCCCAATTGGGACCAGGCGGAACCGTCGGCTAGATTTGTACTCACACAGCGTTACTACTTTGCGCTGCATACGCGCCTGACGGAGTATTTCGAAAACCCACAGATATCGAGTATCCCTCTCTTGTTAGATCCACAGGGCTGGGAGCTAATACAGGGTGAGGGAACATGTAACTCACAGCCTGCTCGAATTGCGGCTCCGCGACATTCTCCATCCAAGAGCTGCTCTCAACAGCACTTTTGGCTTCAATTACTTATGGCATTGAGCCATTATCTGCCCTCCCTCCCCCCCCCCCCCCCACCCCCACCCCACTGCGTCCCTCGCCTGCCACTTTAGCACTGGAGAGTCTTCTGAGGCACAAAATTTGAGCGTGGTGTGCGCGACTTAAGAGATGAAGAGGAAAGGAGGCACATTTTCGCGAATACATGGAAAACGATGCCCGTTCTCCAACCCCGCTTTCAAAGTCCTTCCCATAACAAAGAAAAGCGGAGTAAAGATTGAGATCGAAATGAGTGAAGTTGTGAGAGCAATACCGTTGTAAATGGACAAGAATTCTATGACTCCTGCCGCTCGAAACCACATGCGGGCGACTGCAGCGCATGCAGCATAGTTCCAACACAGTTCAAAAACTGTGCTGTCTCAAAAGTACCGGATCAGTACGAGCCTAGCCTAAGGCGCGAAAGTTGTTCAGAAACTGCGAAGGGACGCTAGTAAGCCGCAGTGGCGTGCTGCCTTTCAGTCGATAATCAGAGTGCGCATATAGAACACAGACAAAACGTAGGGTCCCACAACGGCTCAACTTCGGCGGCGGGTTCAAAATCCAAAATCAGGAGCTTTCGGAAGACATTTCTGAGAATCAGTGGTCCCCAAACCGCAATCTAGGAACCAGCGGGAAAGGTGACCCGCATGTTCGCAATGAAAATTTTACTGCAAAATTTGCCGGTACGCCTTTACCATTTATCACTGAAAGAGCAGGAGATCTGCTGTTAATCGTGGAGAAGATGATTCGTACGCTACAACTACCATACTTGTATAGACAAAAGCCACGAAGAAAGCAAAAATCAATGACGATTGTGCCAAGACAGTAGCTCAGCTACATGACTGAAGAGAACACGCCGCTTTACCCCAAAAAATCTCTGTTACCACAAGTGTTGAAATACGCACCTTCTTTCGATAAAGTTCCAAGACCTGTCGTAGCAAACACAATGAGCAGCGGTCAGCATGCAAATCTTATTGAAAATGAACATACAAAATTGGCCGCTCGAGATTACAGAAAAATGTTTACATGAGGCTTCATTTCTTGCCGCTCGAACAGTAGGAAAGTACCAAGTCTCGCTGGCAAGTGGAAAGTTAGCTAATATTATAAGTTGTTCCAAGATAGTTACATAATCTTTCTTATCCGCTGAGAGAGCGCGTTTTGGCTATATGGACCTAACTTCAAACCAGATACGTTTCCAAACCACATTAAAAACGTGCCAACAGGGTCAAGTGTGTTCATGCGATCCGAAACCCTCTCTTACCTAACGAACTTCCTTGCCCACCACCCCCCCCCCTCGAGGTACCCATCCTTGCTGACCCACCACCCCTCAATTTACTCTTTCTCCCACCCTCTCCACGCTTTTGCTGAGTCTGCATTAACTAAGGTCAAATCACCTCACAAAAGCAGATTGGACTCAGAAATCAGTCAGAGGAAAGAAGTCTGCTTTCCTGTGTGATGACAATACTTGATCGCGCAAAAACTTCCCAAAATAAGTCTGCTTAGATTAGCTTAATTTAAAAAATGCAACGAGGATCTGGCACTGTGCTGTGGTCGCGAGAAGAGACGGATGGTACAAGAGAAGACGTCAATCTATATGATATGACATTCGATTTCCCACTTGTCTATGCGCTGGGTTGAAAGAACTTAAGTAAGATAACAACCAAGAAAATTTCACAAATACAGAGCAATTCACTAAAGTCATTATAATTGATTATTTCATAATCATTTATTTTCTAAACAGATGAAAAAAATCTGCGATTCATGGGTAGTTGGAATAATTTATCCATGTTTTAGCGAATGTAATGAAAAAGATTAATTGAGATTTTGAATATAAAAACACTTTAGATATTAGTTTTGGGTTCGATCCCCGTCAGTGACACCATTTTTTGTAGAAGGAAGAGCTAACGCTCGAGAAGGCTGAAACTTTATTGTTACCTCCGAAGACTTGTAGTATTGAATTATCTGTGTCGGGATAATCCAGCGAACACGTTAAATTTTATTTCCCCAACTTCTACCAAACTAGGGCGAATGGGCATATGCATAGCTGACGCGACATGTTATAATTGAGAGCAAGGAAGGATCTGCAGAATTTTTCTGAACAGATATGCGATTTTTGTGCATCTGAAAATTTTCATTTCTAAAACCATTTTGTAAAGCTCTCTTTGCTCTATCGAATAATATGTAACTACAATAGTTTTTATAGCTTTTTTAGCTCATGGATGAGTAACATGCATCAGATATGCACCAATCTATTATGTTAATGTATTTTCACTCCCATGCTCAAGGCATTCTCGTCAATTTCAAAGGTAAAGGCCTATAACTATTTAGAGAATCAATTTGCAGATTTTAACATGATTTGAGATAGCGTTCTGGAACGACCATTTTTATGTACCTTATACTAAAAGCTCCTTGTTGACGGTGCTAGATACTTGGTAAAAAACTAGTCGTCAATGATAAATCAGAAATTCCCATTATTTGCCATGTGACAGCTGTATGCGGTTGCTCATGCCATTCATACTGGAGGTCTGTTTTTCATCATTGAGTGTAACTTGTCTAAGTTCTACTTCGCAGGTGTTTGTCCAAGTACGCTTTCACGAGTGTCTGCCACAACATCAGTTTGGAGGTGATGTTTTTTGCCATTAAAAGTTGCAAAGATTGCATCTGTATAGCGAACGCTTATTCTATATTCAACTTCTGCAAAAAGGACTCTAGTGCTATGCGGATCAGAGAATTTATGGCAAATTTTACTTGTTAATGTTTATAATCGTCGTTCAGAAAATCAAGTTTTGCTTGATTTGCAGTAAGAAAAATCTACTCCTCAGAGCCTGAGATATCAGTATGTCGTTGTATTCAGCAATGAGTATGAGCGCAGCTGGCGCACGTATGCGGTCTTAGTAGAGGCATTAGCGTATGCTCTGCAGGCTGGCAATGGGCTGCTCTGCATTCTGGCACAAGTCATCAAGAAAGTTGAAATCCGTTGCCATTCTTACCAATTAGCAACAATTTGCCATAGTTTTGAATTAGATAGAATTAATGTTTATGTAGCAAGATATGAGGGGCATTTGCCGGACGTCGGTGCTGAAAATGAAGCCCCTTATACAGTCTGTTTCAACCCGAAATAGGCGAGACACCTAACGTGGATCAGCGAGTCAGCATCGCTGGAGGATTTGCGGGCCGCTGGCATCTTACCGCTGACATTTTTCTTTCGAATCACAGAGCAAGAAATTTTTTTACACCAGTTAGCCTCCGATGAATCTGGCGGAGTGGCGTTATGGAGCAAAGCTACGCCGCATTCGCCTGTGGTATATCCTGAGGGTCCTTTGCGTTGCGTCGCTCCTAATTGCAGCCGCAGAGGAGCTAGCGTTACCCAGCGGATTGAGCCATTCTCCAAACTCTCCATAATAAAGAGATCAAAACGTGGAAGATAAAAACGGATTTTGAGCTATGAAAATTGAATATGACTATGAAGTGTTTGTAAAGCAGAACCCAAGCGAAAGTAAAAGAAGAGGAAATCGATTTCGCTTGGGAAGTCATTGATGGAAGGTCCTGTCCCTTTTATCTACCAATTCTCGTGTTCCACTATCTTTAAACACCTTTCAAGTTGATTCGGCATTTGACTCATCCCAGAATTAGCCTTTGCCAAAAAGTCGTTTATTTTTTTCCAATGTTGGTTTCTTCATTGCGATACAGTCTGAAGCATCAGGGCGTAGCAATAGGATGGCTTAAGCTGTCAGGAGCAGTGCTACTCCTGCGGCTGCTATTAGAGGCGACGCAACGCAAATGGCCCTCAGGATATACCGCAGGGGAATGCGGCGTAGCTTTGCTCCATATCGCCTGCCCCCCGATGAATCTGTAAGAAAATTCGAGAAATAGAAGCGATCGAACAAAATCACTCAAAGGTGGATTTTTGAGCAGGGCTACGTAAAATTCTGAAAGCTTGAAAAGAATACTTTTGCGCACTACGAAAGTACCTTTGCCCTGATAGAAAGGGAAAATGCGAGAGTTAAAAGCACAGGAATAAAATACTTCAGTTTTGCAATTTTTGAGCACACTTAAAAATAAAAAGCGTCACGGCAGAGACCGAGAAATCGTAAACATGGGTTTTACAACCTCACTTTTTTAGATAAGCAAAGTTCGTGCTAATCGGGAGCAGTTTTGACTTTCGTGGTATTTTCGGATTCTCGAGTCTTCGCTTTCCACGAGGATCAAAATTGCTTTTCACTACCACAAATTTCGCTTCGCTAAAAGGGCATAAAACCCAGACTTATCTCGGCTTTGCCCTATTTTTAGGTTTTCTTTGAGCATGCTCAAAAATTACAAAATTGGTGTAGTTCTCTTCATTTGCTTCTAACTCTCGCATTTTCTCTTCTAAATACGGGAAAATACTATTAGGTTGTCCAGAAAGTTTTGTCCGTTTTTTCAAACCTATCATAAAAACGCGTGGAACGAAAATAGGGAAACGCACAAAGCACTATCCGACGCATCTTTTTCTTCTCTTTCTAACTGTCATACTTCCATGCCGATTAATCTTTTGTTCACTGAGATAAACGCCGTAATTTACCCATGGTTTTTACTACGTCCAAGTTTGGCAATTTTTCACAATCTTTATTTTTGACTTTCGGAAAAGCTTCAGCAACATTTAGATAGAGCAAACAAAGGGCAATATAATGCAATTTTGCGGCATCTATAGCCAGTCTTGAAAATTTTTTAAAATTATTTTTCTGATGCTATCAAATTCCACTTTTGGTGATGCCAAAAGCCAGAGGCGCACAACTAAAGTGTTATTCGATGCAGCTTTTCCTCCTCTTTCCACTGAGTGTATTTTCTCTCCAATTTGCGGGGTCTTTGGCGATAAAATTTTCATAATTTTTGAATTTGACCCCACCCCATCGTGTGCACGTAAAATGCAAAATCTTACATTTCGAAGCAGTAAACGCTCATTTGCTTCGTAAAAATAGTGAATAATCGTAATCGGTTTTTGAAAGCTTCAAAATCCGATGATTTATTAGTGTTCGAGGCGTTTCTGTATTTTGGAACTTCGTAAAAGTGAAGACATTTGAAAAAATTATCTTTAAAAATATTGAAAAGCCAGCTAGATATGCTTAATATTAGGTTGTCCGGAAATTAATGCAGGTTTTGAATTTCAACCGCAATAAGTCATACATTTCTCATTTCTAAATAGGTTGCAAAGTAGCATTCGATAGAGCAAAGCAAGCTCTACAAGATGGCCATCTTGCTTTAGCAACAGCTCTGATCCACCATGAGTTTCGAGCCAACAACTAAAAAGATTCAACTACCCGAGTAATTAAGAAAAATCGTAACTCTGTTCTTAAAAATTTTACAAAAATTCTAACTTGCTCGCATAAACACAATTGACGTAAGGCATCTATATACGCGGTTGCCATATTTTTTTCTGTATTAGAAATCAAGAAAACGGAAATTTTCGTGCATTTGCCAAAGTGGTGCTGTGCCGTTCCCACATAAGTAATTGTATACTACAAACCTTCAGAAGTATAAACGTAAATTTCCAGCTCTCTACAAGCTTTAGTTTTCGAGAAATTTGAATTTTAGCTTGGACCACATGACTAGGGAAAACTGTAATCGATATTTCTTGAGAACTAAAGCTTGTAGAGAGCTGGAAATTTACGTTTATACTTCTAAGGGTTTGTAATATACAACTACTTATGTGGGAACGGCACAGCACCACTTTGGCAAATGCACGAAAATTTCCGTTTTCTTGATTTCTAACACAGAAAAAAAATACGGCAACCGCGTATATAGATGCTTTATGTGGATTGTGTTTACGTGAGCAAGTTAGAATTTTTGTAGGATTTTTATGAACAAAGTTACGATTTTTCCGATTATTTCGGGTAGTTGAATCTTTTTATTTTGGCTCGAAACTCGTGGTGGATCAGAGCTGTTGCTAGAGCAAGATAGCTATCTTGTAGAGCTTGCTTTGCTCTATCAAAAGGTACCTTGCAACCTATTCAGAAATGAGAAGTGTATGACTTATTGCGGTTGGAATTCAAAACCTGCATTAATTTCCGGACAACCTAATAGTTGCATTGCATTGCCCTTTGCTTACCCTATCTGAGGGCTATCAAAGGTCTTCCAAAAGTTGAAAATGAAGAGTGTGAAAAATTGTCAAACTTGGACATAGTAAAATTTACCTCAGTGAGCAAAAGAGTAGTCGGCATGTGGGCTTGACTATTAGAAAGAGGAGGAAAAGATGCGTCGGGTAGTGCTTAGAGCGTTTCCCTATCTTTGTTCCACGTATTTTTATGATAGATTGAAATGGACAAAACTTTCTGGACAACCTAACATATTAACGCGCAAAACTTTTTCAAAATAATTTCAGAATTCATTGTAGACCTGCTTAAAAATGCCACTATTAAGTAATTTCGTTCGAATACTTCTATCTCTCGAATTTTCTCATACTGATTCATCGCAGATCTACTAACGAAAGAACGATCCCAACTTAAGGAGGCGATTTGGAATGTACCGCATATCATTAGATGCGCCCTTATGAGCTGATTCCAAATCTACCTTCCATATCTGCGACAACGTTATTTGCAAAAAGTTATGAGCGGTTGAAAATGTGAAGTTATTGGGGTTTTAATGCATAATGTGCTTCAAAATCCAATTTGGAAGTGCACGATTAGCATGATATTGGGTGTACTGATTTCAAGGAGTGCTCACATTTTAGTATAGTGTTATCTCTGAGCTTCATGCTGGATTCTGGTGTAAGTATTGAGGAGAGAGAGCTCTTGATCAGTAGTTTATGAGCAATGGCAACGTTTCGATTTTCAAAATCGTCTTCAGGCCTTCATCTTCTTCTTAGATGGGAGGTAGAGAGGGGTGGGGTGGTTGCGGGATAGTACCAATAAACTACTGATCAAGAGCTCTCTCTCCTCAATACTTACACCAGAATGCTCACATTCTAAAGAAACACAAATAAGTGTTTTTGAACAACTAATTTTCGAGAATTGGCGCTGTATATTTGCCAAATTTGGATCTTTCATTGCTCATAGCTTTTACCAGAGAGCTTTAGTTGCTTTTTAGCTGTTCAAAAACACTTATTTGTGTTTCTTTTAAATGTGAGCATTCCGTGAAATCAGTACACTCAAAGTCATGCTAGTCGTGCACTTTCAAGTTGGATTTTGAAGCACATTATGCATTGAAACCCCAACAACTTCACATTTTCAACCGCTCATAACTTTTTGCAAATAACGTTGTCGCAGATATGGAAGATAGATTTGGAATCAGATTAAGACGCATCTAATGGTATGCGGTTCATTCCAATTCGCCACCTTAAGTTGGGATCGAGATCCCTTGTAAGAGCTCTGTAAAGGCTTAATCTGTGCTTTCGAACAAAATTAGTATCAAAAGAATCCATTGAGACTTGAAGAAATTATTTTCGAAATGATGCGCAAGAACTTTTGAGCCAACTAAAACAATGGCTGCCTCATTTGGGTCGGTGCCTTCGAATCATCGAAAGCATTGAACTGAAATTATTTCGACTTTTACGGTACGTTCTGAAACAAGTTGAAAAAAAAAAACAAAAAACACATAACTGCTCATTAAACAGTTTTAACGATCAAAAACTAAACGGCTGAAACAAAAAAAAACAGGTACGACGTCATTTCTGAAAGGAAAACGGCAAGTCGGAAATAGTATAGGACTTAAGGCAACTACGAGCAATGTAAGCAATATCTTTTGTTAAAATACGAGCATTCCCATGCAAAATAAAAGCAAATGCTTGGCTGTTCAGAAACAGTTGAAGACAACATTACCACAACGTACGAAAGGTGTTCCATCAAGAAGCGCTGAAGTTGGTGCACGTCATACAGAGGTTTTGTGAGTTCCATTGAAGGGGTTTCTAAGATTACACGAGGTTGTCCATCTTTTAAAGGTCTACTCGTTTTGCTGAAGGCATATTCACTCGAAGGTAATGTTAAATTCTCTTAAGGTTTTTTCCTACAATGAACTTCTGATGTTCTGTCGATAGCTTGCGCTACTGACAATACCGCAAATTGAAATTGCCTTTTCAGAAAAACACATAAAAAGGTTACTTACGGAGAAGATCACGCGCTACAGTGGAAAATGTAGGTCACATTCATTCGAAGATATTAGGGCGAGCGGTAAAAAATGAGGCAGTTACAAAATAACTGAAGGTTTCTCAAGAAAAAAGTGATTTAACTCCCCAGTTTTGACAGATGTTAGAATATATTATTCTATGTCAGATAATACGTATATAATGTTATTAACATTTCTAATAATTTTTCTACTTGCTGAAAGTTAATCACTTCGACAAATCATAAACATCGTGCAGTATCTGCGCAATGAAACATGCGAGACCAACCAAAGTACCACTGCTGAGATGAATTGTGGGACAGTCGCCAAACCCACAATGGCTTGCTGGCCTCATCGCTCAAAGTCAGGAGATATGGTCATTAGCAATTTCGAGAACGAAGATACGTGTTATTCAATTCCTTGCAAGTGAACGCATGTTTTCTAGACACGAGTTAATAGAGCTTTTTACGCTCAATCCATCCATATGCAGTTTACCCCAAATTTCATCTATCTTCGGAAAATGTAGGGTTAAACATGACTTTATGGTTTTCAATTGCGCCAAAATTTCGCCATTTTTCAAGTTTCTTCGTTCATTTCTGAAATCAAAGAGAATTCTTATTTAGTGAACATATCGTTTAAAAGAGCATGAGGAGCTCTTTCGAATGGTGCTTCATATGCTCTATGACTTCACCGTATAGCAGCGAAAGTTTGAGAGATGTTCAAGAAACCCTGTTCGAGTTCTTCGCGGCGCCACGCGTACGGTTACGGAGGAGGAGCGCTAACGCGTTGCTAGAATAACTGGCGAAGATTGGTAATTGATGTTTGAATTGCAGCCTACTTGCTGCTGGTGGAAGCAAAAATCTCAAAATGTAATAAAAATCAAGCTGCTCCATTTTTTACCGTTCAGCCTAATTGATACTAGATTAACCGCAATGTTTGAACAACCTTGAATTTGTTCGATAAGCTTATATGTGGTCTGCTGCAATATTCATCACTTGGATGCAGAAAAGAAACTAGTTCAAGGTTTTCAAGTTAACATGTGTGAAGTGTCTTTAAGTCTGCTAGACTCAGAATGAGTAGTACCATGTTTCAAATGAGATAAATTCTCATTTTGTGTTTGAAAGATCATGTATGCTGTCATTGTCACGAAACGCGACTTTCACTGAGTCCTCTGCTGATGTAGCCTCCAGGCGCCCGGCTTAGATTTTTTGTCACACTATTAGTCTTGAACCAAAACCGTGAGACGTACGAAACACCATATCTCGTGTACTGGTTCTGAGGTGCCTTGTTGTTGCTCAACAGTTCCTCAACAGTTTCTCGACAGTCACCTAATTACTGTTCTGTATTAGCTCTTCTGTGCTACTCTCATTCTGTGTATTTGTATATCAGCTTCTTCTTGTGGTTTGTCATATTACTGATAAATCATTATATTTTACCAGTTGTTCTGCTAAGTCAGTGGAACCTGCGGTCTAGATCGTCCTAACGCCACTTGGGGGCCGAACCTCTGACTTAGCACCGACAACTGTGTAAGCGTCGAAGACCTTCCAGAAGAAGCTGAAATTTAAAGCGTCAGCGACCTCCAAAGTCAATTAAGTCTGCAGCGTCAACGACCTCCAAATCGATTAGAAGCGGCAATTGTATCCCGCATAAGCCTATCGCGTCTTAAACCGATAGATTGGGGCACCACTGGTCTCCATATTGATTTCTGAGGCGGCGGATTTATCCCCGCGTAACCTATCGATCTATTGGTCTATTAGCGTTGACGGTATAGAGCGCTTATACGAGTTGAAAGAGCTACAGCGAGTGCGTAGCATCGCAGAACCATACTTTACGAAAGTGTGGCAGAACTACTCGGTGCAATGACGTGTGCATTCGAGTTTAACGTCGCTCAGTTGTAGCGTTTGATCGAATCCTACAGTCAAAAGAGTGTTCGCTGTAGAAAGATTTGAGTGGCATGATAAATGAGGAAGAACATAGAGCTCAGCCAAGAGACAACGAGGTGGTTAGTGAACGGGGAGAAGAGCGAATCCCGTTTATGACAAAGTTGTACAAGGAAGTACATGATAGCTTGAACCTCGTAAGCATAGAGTGCGAAAAAGAACTGAACACAGTTTTTCGCACAGGTGACAAACGCAGAAAAGCATCTTGACAAAGCTAGAAGAGCAGATCGAAATTGCAGAACAGAAATAAAGAGTAATCCTCGAAAGTTCTGTATGCACAAGAGGTGACCTAGGAGGAACGCAGATTGACTCTGAGACATTGGAGATCCTTGCAAAGGCTGAGTTGATGTCACCAGAAAACCTGCAACGTTGTCTTAATGAATACTTCACCCACTGTATGTTAATTGCAACCTTGTGTACAACGCTAAACTGCAGTAAAGACTTGGAGGAAAAGGCCAAAGAAGCGTCAACTGAGGCTCAGTGTCTCCGGTTAAAACTCAGATCTTGAGCAGAGGTTGCGGAAGTCATGGAGCCAGCACGAATCGATCTGACAATGATGCAGATCGGTAAACAGACACATCGGAAGGCAAATCGATCATATAGTTCGACGCAAATATAAAAGATTTGCAAACATAAATAGGGAAGGCAACACACTTTTATCAAAGCGCGAACTGCCAAGAGTGCAGAATGCGCAAGATAGTGCACTGAAGACCTGCTCGCATAGGCACAGGTTAGAGTTAGGCAGAAGAAATCGAAAACAGTTGAACACAGATGTGCATGAAGTCCGATTGCAAGATTCTTCACATAGCTATAATCCCGAGTTTACCATGAGAGAGTTCATGTTGGCGTCTACAGTACCAGACGTAAAACCTTTTTATGGTGAGGTGAATGAGAGCTTCAACAAGTTCGTAAAATCATTTCTGTTGAGGTACCCAAGGAAGCATTGGGATGATGATGAAAGTTTGATACAACTTCTCGAAAGTTTTCTGAGAAGGGAAGCCTTGAATCTATTTTAGACACTACCGCGAAGTGTAAAAGAAGGTCCCTTCGACGGCGTAGTCCAGGCGATGAGCGAAAGGTTAGCTGAAGGAGGCAACACTTCTCGTGTGAAAGCCTTGGCTACACTGAGAAATCTGAGAATGAGAAGAAATCAGACGATAAGTGATTTCTGCTTTGTACCGGAGAGGACGTGCAGTCATGCTTACCCTAATGAAGAAATGGAAGAGGTGGCACTCCAGAAAGCGGAACTTCTGTATTCCCAGTTAGCTAACTGGGAAGGAAGCTATGTTTTGGCCGAAGCAATTGAGACTAGCCCGCGAGATGTCGTATATGACAGAGTGAAGGAAGCAGCGATGAGGCTGGAAAGAAATCTGCATAGAAAGGAAATCAAGCAGAGCAATGATGTGCATACTTTATGGAAATCTAGCTTCACCGAAACAGTGGTCTGATTCGGAATCGGCCGCTGATCATGGTGGAAGAAGAGATAGATTGACCGTGAAAGGCAAAGAGAACAGTAATCGTTGCTTCAAATGTGGCAAATCAGGGCATAAAGGGAAACATTGCACACTGCAGAATGGCACAAAGGACAACGTAAGAAGAAATGAAGAACACAAGGCATCTTCGTTCTCCACTGCTCTTGATAGGTGGTTATGCGCAACCACAGGTGCCAGGAGAAGTGCTGAAGAATTTGTTGGTAAGAAGGTATTTGTGCCAGCAAAAGTGATGAATATGAAAGTAAACGCACTTATAGACACTGGCTCCGAGGTATCTATAGCATCATTAAAGCTGTTCACGAGGGCCAAAAAAGCTACAGTCGATCTAGATGCTTATGTGGAGAGAATCTCAGGAGTAGTATCTAATGCTACGATATGCGACGCTTCTGGGAACAGAATAGAAATCTTGGACGCAATCAAGATGCCTGCGGAATTGTTTGGCAAGTCCAAGAAGATTCCGGTATATGTTACCAGGTCTTAGAAAATGATCCGATTTTGGGGACAAATGCCCTATGCAAATTTGGTGTCAAAGTGATTCCAAGTGATACCAATAACGATTTGCTCAGAGACTCGGTAAAAGATCCGTTGAATGTAGTAAGATTTCGAACTGATAGACTACTTGGAGGAAACAAGACGAAGCCAAAAGTAGGAAGGAAACCTTTGAAGGGCCAAGAAAGAAATGAAGAAACAAGGCGCACAAAGCAGAAATATGAAGCACGATTCCAAGAATCAAGACGGAATCTTGGACGAACCATTAGCCGATAGGAAGCAATCGACGAAAGCTGTGAAGATGCACAAGCTGAAACAACAGCCAAAGAATAGATTCGTCGATGTCAAACGGGTAAGCATGGAACAGCAAGATGAAGCTGATTCCAACGCATCAGCAAACAAGAATGTTGTGAAAAAACTGAAGAGTTTCAATGCGAAGCAACGGAATCTAACAGAAAGGAGTGGACACTTGTTGCGGTGTCAGAAATCTGGAAGAAGGTCGCTTGGACAAGGATCGCATGGGCAAGGATCGCATGGGCAAGGATCGCATGGACAAGGACCGCATGGACAAGGACCGCATGGACAAGGACCTTCTGGGCAACGACCACAAGGAAAAACAAGGGAGAAGAAATCAAGATAGATCGTCGTTGTTGTTAAGTTCTTAAGTGTTGTAGTTGTTGTTGTTGTAATTGTTAAGTGTTAATAGTTGTACTTGTTAAGTTTAATAGTTGTTAATAGTTTAATAGTTGTTAATAGTTGTTAAGTGTCGGGACGCCACTTACGATAAGGGGGAAGTGTAGCCTCCAGGAGCTCGGCCTAGGTTTTTTGTCATACTATTAGTCTTGAACCAAAATTTTGAGATGTACGAAACACCATATCTCGTGTATCGGTTCTGAGGTGCCTTGTTGTTCCTCAACAGTTCCTCAACAGTTTCTCGACAGTCACCTAATCACTGTTCTGTATTAGCTCTTCTGTACTACTCTCATATTCTGTATTTGTATATCAGCTTCTTCTTGTGGTTTGTCATATTACCGATAAACCATTATATTTTACCAGTTGTTCTGCTAAGTCAGTGGAACCTGCGGTCTAGATCGTCCTAACGCCACTCTGAGCTTATAATCACCCGAGCACAATAGTGTTAGTTATATGTTATCAAAGTTCTACTGATTCATTACCTGGCCTGCGAATAGATTACTATCCTAAAAATTGCTTTCACTACTGGAACATTTGAGTGTAACTAAAGTCACATCTAAGCATGTCCAGGTACCTTCCAAAATATGTTTAGATTTACTAGAATGATTTAGTGATACATTTTGTGATGAACTAAACTAATGCAAATGCCAAATGGAATGATTTCTAGAATCGCTATCTTTTCTGGCATAGGATTACTCATTCTGTGTGCTCTCGGAGTTGTACTCTACATGACTTGTCGCAGAGAAGCTGACTCTCATGGTAACTTGAAACATTTTATTCATAAGAGCGCACAAGCGATGGACCATTTTTAGGTACTATGGCGGAGCCTTCAGTTCTTATAACAGATCTTGGGATGGAACAAGAACAATTTTTCGACAAACAGGTGCAGTCTTTAATTGGTTGTGAAAAGAAGGTTTCGCAAACTATAAAATGTGTAACATGTGGACTATCAAGCAAAAACTTGCAAAATCTTCCTTTACTCTTTCTTCGGGTGCTCATCGCATACCTTCATGGACACGTGAACCTACAAGAAGACGGTAGTGGCACAAAGGCAGTGATCGAACAAAGAACCCAATTCTAACAAACTACTCACAAAGAAAGAATACTTGGTGACCGTAGCCTATTGCAGTGCGATGTATAGCAATAGATGCGCCTTAAAACGGTGATACGAATCTATGTTCATTATATGCTGTGCGACTCCCTGAACGAAGTTATGGACTATTCTAGGGTTGTAAATAAAGTTCTGCCAATAGACGCTGAGCTAAAATGTTTTATTTATATTTTTATCATGAGTGGCTGTCATTTAGCGATATTTTGGTCATGTGTACTGACCAAAACTTAGACTACTGATTGGGTATGTCGAAGATGCTCTTTTTCTAGAAACGTTTCAAAACATGTGGAGTGTTCGATTTATTGAACCCTGATTTCAATGACTTATTTCTTGCTCGCAAAAAGGGCTGGGTACCGGGGCAAGTAATAGTCGGATATTGCTTCACCTAGCCAACACACACTTTATAAAACGGATTTTCAAATCAGGCTTCTGGAAGTTCTGCGCGTCGTCTCTGATGTGAAATGTCCCTTTTCCAAGACCTGAGCCCAACGGATTTTTCTCGTTTTTCGGGCATTTCTTCCTAGTTAATAGTCATTTTTTCGAGCTGAATAGCGTGTTAGATAGCTAGGGCCATCGCACCCTATGAAAACATTTCAAACCAGCCCTTTGCATTCGCATTCATTTTTGGTATTTACGAGAAGAATTGGCAGAACTTTTTTTACAACTTAATATTATTAGGTAGGCTCGAAAGTTGTCGGGCATTTTCAGACGAGATCTGCTATTCGAAACTTAATGCAAGTACATCCGGCAGAGATACCATTCGATAGAGAAGCAAGCTTACAAGATGCAAAAGTTTGCACCAGCTTCGACCCACCATAAGTTTGATCCAGAATCTGAGTCGTACTGAAGGTTCGAAAAATTGGGAAAAATTCATATCTTCGTTCAAATAAATCCTACGATATCCAAGTAGCTTAAGCAAATTGCACACCACATCAGACACCCATATGTATCATTGCGTACTTCCTCCTTATTTAAAAATCAAGAAAACGTAAATTTCATGCTCATGCAAAAGCGAAGCTGTTTCCACCCATGTATTTGTGTGCTACAACCTCTTAGAGGTATAACCATAAATTTTAAGCTTTCCGTAAGCTCTAGTTTTCAAAAATATTGATAGCATGCCTTCCAAATGAGGGGCGCTCAACTTGGTAATTTTCGGAAACTAGGGCCTGTAGAAAGCTGAAAATCTACGATTATATTTCTAAGAGCTTATACTATAAAATTACATGAGTCTGCACAGCACAGCTTCGTTTCTGCATGAGCATGAAAATTTACGTTTTCTCGATTTCTAGATTAAAAAAATACAGGAACGGTAAACGTGAGTGTCTGATGTGGTGTATAATTTGCTTGAGCAACTTGGAGATTGTAGGATTTATTTGAACAAAGATATGAATTTCTCCCAATTTTTCGAGCCTTCAGTACGACTCAGATTCTGGATCAAACCTATGGTGGGTCGAAGCTGGTGCGAACTTTTGCATCTTGTAAAGCTTGCTTTGCTCTATCGAATGGCATCTCTGCCGTATGTACATGCAGTAAGTTTCGAGAAATAGCAGATCTCGTCTGAAAATGTCCGCCAACTTTCGAGCCAACCTAATAATACTAAAATAGTCCATAACTTCGTTCAGAAAGTCGCACAGCATATAATGAACATAGATTCGTATCACCGTTTTAAGGCGCATCTATTGCTATACATCTCACTGCAGAAGGCCACGGTCACCAAGTATTCTTTCTTTGTAAGCAGTTTGTTAAAACTGGGTCCTTTATTCGATCACTGCCTTTGTGCCACTACCGTCTTCTTGTAGATTCACATGTCCATATAGCTATGCGATGAGCACCCGAGGGAAGAGTACGACTCAGATTCTGGATCGTTACGGTGGGTCGAAGCAGTGCGAACTTTTGTATCTTGTAAAGCTTGCTTTGCTCTATTGAATGGTAGCTCTGCCGGATGTATATGCATTAAGTTTCGAGAAATAACAGACCTTGTCTGAAAATGTCCGAGAACTTTCCAGCCAACATAGTAATTCCACAAGATCTAGGCAGTCAAAGTCGTCAACATCCAAACTTTATATCTGGTATATCGAGACAGTTATCCTAGGCTTGAAGCAAAGCTTTATTTAATTGGGCGCTCATTTGCAATGCGTAAGTGAACATTTTAACAATATTGTTGAATCCTTTTATTAAAAGAGTGCAAATTTTGCGGCAAAAGATGTTATAACTTCTTTCAAGAGAGTGCACAGCTAATGATGAAAGCAGTTTTGAAATTAGCGTTTTAAGATGCATAAGAACGTATACGTTTTATTTCAAAATCCCACGCTCACAGTATCTCTTTCTTCCAGTTCCCATGCAAGTAGTAGCCCGTATGACTGCAGAATATTGCCTCTAGAGCAAGAAAATCTCTCAGAAAGTAGAACTACCCCTCCATACTTTTTTGCTGCGATGAGAAGAAGACTGAATTAAGGGGCTTCTCTGTTTGAACTTTTGAAGCGGTCCGCTTCAAAGGTAATATTTTGTGATTCCAATTGAGATGGTGTGCCAGATGCTCGCTTCAGTAATTTGTAAAATTCGGTTCCCAAATCTGCACTTCACTCCCTTTAAGAAAGGGTCTGGCAAACGTCTTTCTCTATCTATATCTTCTCCCAATCAATGAGTTGCGGCTCCCTTTTACATAGCAACGATACACGAAATAACATATTTTGACGAAAATTCAAGATGCAAAACGAATGTTTAGCCAGCTCGAGATCGCGATAAACACAAAAGCAATAAGACAACAGGCGAATCATGCAGGGAAAAGAGAGTGGGGGGGGGGGAGGAGAGAAGGAAAGGGAACAAGTAGAGAAAAGTTGAAAAACGCAAATGAGACTCCAACGTAAGGGAGGCGCCATACTTTTCGAAGAGTAGCGGCCGCTAATAGTAGTGACTCGATCGCTGGTCTTGACGACATTACAATTGATTCGTATCGACTGGACATGTGGAAATTTGTTCGCAATTAGTTTCTATGTAAAGTGCGGTCGCTAGTTTACACGCATTTGATGCATATTGCTGAAAGGGCTGTTATTCTTCTCGAGAGTTCACCTGCCTAAACGGAGTTTGCAAGCAAGTATATTAGAGCATAGTATCTATCACAGTAGAATTTTCAATATGAAAGGCAATAATAGAAATTAGTACTTCCCATGGATAGATCTTTTGAACTGGAGAATGTAATCCACGATAAAACAAAAACATGCACAGGCTAAATTCGTGCTATGTCAGCTACTTGAGGCCAAGGGTTGCGAAGTACGCATATGCAGGAATATTAGGAAATATTGGGTTGAATCGAAAGTTCTGTCGTTTCATTTTCAAAAATTTGTAACTTCGCGAGATTTGAACGGATTTGCTTGCTTGTAATTTTATTAGAAAGACTGGTCTTCCGCTTTCAATCGCTGTTTTGACCTACCCTTCCCAACTGTGTAGAGTTTGTGCTATTTAGACGATATTCATAACTTCTCACAGAGACGTCCTAATAGCACAAACTCTTCACAGTTGCGAAGGGTAGGTCAAAAATATATGTACTGACGATTTCAGATTTTTCTGCAGCATTTCAGATTTTTGGTGAGCTAACTTAGAATGGTCAAATCTTATATGGTCTTAGTTATCCATTTTTATCTCCGCACCCAATGTGAAACAGAAGCTCCATAAAACAGCATCTGAAAGCAAAAGACATATTCTTTCTAATAAAATTAAAGGTAAGCAAAGCCGTTGAAATTTCGCGGAGTTACAAATTTTTGAAAACGAAACGACAGAACTTTCGGTTCAACCTGATACATTCTGATACACTTTGAATCAGATATCAGGGAATATCGGTACATCAGCGATATTAGATATGCATTCTGCGCAACTTATTGAATAGACCCTGCTATTTATACACTTGAAAACACGGCTGATTTCGCATGCTGAAAATGAAACATGCCATCACGAGAAAAAATAAGCTCGAACTTTCTCGCGGCAAAAATGCACATATTACAGGAATTAGACTCTCAGCCTGCTGTCAGTGGTTTTGGAATTGTAGACAAAAGTGGAGTGGAGGTCAGTAGTTTCAGTCTAGTACTGAGTATAATTACACATTACCTCAACCAGCATTCAATCAAGTTGATTGATTTTAGGATGCAGAAGAGCGCCAACGTTCCCGTCAGGGAGTAATCGCTGCTGATATAAACAAGGCGGAGGTTTGATAGATTTGAGGCATATTGGTGCCTCTCATAATTTTCTGGCTTTGTCTAGTAATACAAAAGATTTCTTTTATGATCTTCACCGAATTCCCGCAGAAGTTACAAATGTCACTTTCTAGGAAGAAATGGTGCTTCGAAGACCTCTAGCAAAATTTCAAAAAGGTATACCTGAAACGAATGCACCGAATTGGCTCATGGTAAGTGCAGATATAACCGTGCTTCATGGACGTAGAGCTGATCAAAGGTTGACCGAAAACTACCCGATGCTGGCGTACATTGGGAATCCCAGCCTCTCCAAGCTCTGCAACGAATTGTGGGAAGCTTTTGCTTTACCCACTTGATTTACGGTAGTATTTTGAGGAAGTCAGAGCAGGGCCCGGCACGAGTCGGTTTCTAGGGTTTCTGAAAACGAAGTCTCCCCTGACTTTCGGAAGTTTTACGAAGTCCCCTTTGACCTACCTGCTTAGGAGAAGATGAAAACAAGAAAGATTTACTAGTCTGAAAGAAAAGACGTAAGATAAGAGTGAGAATCCAAATTGGAGCTCAATACTACGCATGCACAAGACTTTGGCATTAGAGCGCGATATTCAACAAAGCGTGAACAAATGATGGCAAAAAACAAAGGAAAGGCAATTATATGAAAATGTTTTCATGCTCAGGAATAGATTTTTGACCGGGCAATCCGTCCATGCTAAAAAGGTCCGAAACTTATGTGAAGTGACGAAAATATATGCTCCAGACGATTTCAGATCGTCTGGTGGCCGTCTGGAGACGATCTAATTTTGGAAAAGGTATTACTTCACATAAGTTTTCAAATCTTTTTACATAATACTTTCGTAAATAATTTTTTATGCATACAGTTCAATTTCGGTGTCATATGCTTTTGTGTGCGCTGTAAACAAGCAATTTGTTTGTTTTAGCCTTGCTTTCAAATCGCGCGCAATTTTTGCCATACAGTAAGTTTCCACCCGCTTTAGGCGGAAATTGGACTGGCGCGAGTCCGCCTCGCAACAGCTCGCACCGTTTCGCACCTACAGTATATCCTATCGTGCTGAGAACCCATGTCTGCGTCTCTTCAATCCTCCTAGTCTTTACTTGGCAAAATGCCAGCGCTATGCGCCCGCGAAGCCTCCAGCGATGCGCATGCGCTGCTCCACGTAGAATGTCTCGCCTAATCCGGGATGAAACCGACTGTACACGATAGAGCATGTCAGTCGTTTGATAACCTGTCCGAAAAGCTTGTGTTCGACTGAATGGCGCTTATTCTTGGTGCTAGCCGCCACTAGTTAAAAACGATATCCCCTTTGCTGTTTGCTTCAAAAACGAAGTCCAGCCCGCTTCCAGACGATCTGTGCCGGGCCCTGAGTCAGAGGTTTTCAAGAAGCGGAGAAAAATCTCAAGGGAAGCGCTACAGGACCAACTTGGGTACGAAAACGTGTTTCGTCAATTATCATTGAAAATCAACCCTGAATGGCTGGAGAATAGGGCAGTCTACTAAAGTTTTTTCTTACGCGAACAACTCCAAAATTTTTGAGTCGTTTGAATAGCTGATGGTTAGTAATTTTAGTAACAGTGTACTAGTTCAGAAGTTAGATACAGTTGCAAACTTGTTGGACTCATCTTCTCGTTTCCTTAAAATCGTAGTACAAAAAAATCTTTATCTGACTATGACTGTTCGCGCATGTAATTTCAGTGAAACGCATTCATGGTCTTTGAGGCCATCTGCGGTTGACTAAATGCACTGCAAAATCAGCATAAAATAGTTATTGCTAGTACCGCTGAAAATTGATAGCGGTTGTAGTGTCGCCACAAAAGCTGCTCTGCAATCAGTTGAAATCCTAGCTTCATGCTTTTCAGAACAGATTGGGACCGCAGGAGCCGCTCACACAAAGCAAATCTAAGTCGCCGGAATCATTGGAGTTAAGTGCTACATCCTCCGTACCAGCGTTCAAGAAGTTATATCAGTAGTTTGGAATATATGGCCCTAATGTTTGATAGCTGATAGCTCACTTAATCTCAACGTTCTTGATGCATTTTTGCGTCACAAAACGAACATATGATTTATTTTCATTGATGTAAAGTTCAGAACGGCACTAGCGATTTAGTCAAATATCAGGGTCGGTAGCAAAGCTGTCAAAACTCTGAGTTATAACCAGAGTTAACTCTGGAGTTATCTGAGGTAACGGGCGTTTTTTGACTCCCTTAGCAAGTGCTTTCAACAGACCAAATCTGGAAAGCGAAGATATGGCAGCATAATCCTTGACCAGTAGTTTATTCCTAGTTGAATAACATTGTACAAACCGTTCTGCACATTGAACAGCGCCATCAAACGCGCAGCTGAGCTCTGAGTTTGGTGCGCGTTCCAGTCTGTTGTGGAACTCAGAGATAAGTCTGAGTTTGGTCAGAGAGAGAAAAACAGTGCACGAAAGAAGAGGGGCAACTGAAAAGTCCTCCAGAGTATACATTTTGGTTGTAGTTTCAGCAGGCATGATGGTTTTTGTAAATTCTGCATCCGTGGTATGCAGAACTTACAAAAAAAAATATTGTAAAATCTTGGCCCAGGGTTATCCGGTGCGCTGATTACGACTATGGTACTCATTTTTTACCATGGAGTCATAATCAAAAAATCAGGAAATTGATCGAAATTTGGTACACTGGGCTTATTCGGAGCCCAGATCACGGACAATCTACTTGCCACGTACACTGGTGTCATTTAGGGCGACTACTGTAGGTATACGGTAAGGGGTAAAGTCACAAACATGGCTAAAATTTGACTCATTTGGATTTCGGCGTGCCAACCACGAGTTTGCAAAACCCTTCATGCGGCAGTGCCAGCTGGGGGGGGGGGGGGATATGGTAGGCATACGTAAGTAGGCCAAATACCCAGAATTTGGCCACAGAATAAGGGCAACTCTGCCCGGATGGCTTGTTGTGCGTGCAAACCCTAATAATCCATTCTTATCAATGCGCACGCCATCCGCTCTCTCTATTGTCTGAAGCTTTCAGCTGCACAAAAGACCAATTCGTGCGATAAACCACCCATCTCGACGAAAATGAAAATGAGTGAGACTTCGACATAATTTGTTTTGATATGCTTTATGTTGATGCAATAAGTACATTACAATGCTTTGAGACTCAAGTGTGTACATGGCCTAGCGGTTTAGTGACAGGATCATTGCGCTAGACTCGAACAGGTTCGAGTCCCAGCTTGAAAGTCGCTTTGCGGTGACCTGCATAAGAGCTCCTCAAACAGCAAAACTCCGAGCTCGAGAATTGGAACTCGGAACTTTAAAAGCGGAAGTCAGAGTTTCAATAAGCATGACTCTGAGTTTGAAAAACGGAACTCAGAGTCATCTCCGAGTTAACGCGAAGCTTCAAACTCGGAGTTTTGACCAGAGTACTACCGACCCAGGAATATGTCAAATAAGCGAGAATTTTTCCATTGATTTTCAACATATGTTCTCATCAGAATTTTTTGATGAAAGATGATTTGATTTTTGATGATATATATGAATCTCTCTATAACGACATGACAACAAAACCGTGAATGAGTTCATCTCTTTTTCCGATCAAAGCTTTCGCTTCTTAAAAAATCCGAAATTGTTTAAGCTGGGGATGCCGAAATTTGAAGTTGGGAAGGAAGCTATAAAGCATGCAAAAAAGGAGATTGCTGTTTCAATTATGGGCATTTATTCACTACAGCAAATCAATTTAGGAAGAAAAAAAGGCTCAAAAATTTATCCATGGTGCGGAAAAATTAATCGAAAAGGTTTGCTTCGATTGATAAAACACAGTCTATAAAATCGAAATGCGAATTTAGAAAGCTAAACAAGGATTGCCAAAGCAACTTGGGCTACCAAAGACAAAAAGCAGATCGAAATCTCTTGAAAAATCTGTATGATTTTGCATCGCAAGCTCAATACGACTAATGTATAGCTTAGGAGTCATCAGAAGAAGTGTTCAATCGACCAAAATTAGGAAGCAGATCAAAATCTCTTGAAAAATCCGTAAGATGCATTGTAAGCTTATCACCAGTAATGAGACAGCTTAGGGGTCACTGGAAATGAAATCAGGAAGCAAATCGAAATCTCTTGAAAAAACCGAAGTAAGATCTTGCTGACAGAGCCCCAGGTATCACTTGGATTATTACAGGACGGAAAACGAGTAATACCTGCAAAGGCTGCCTTGAAAGAACCACCCAAGCAGTTTAAAAATTTACCGCCTAAGGTAAGTTGAAGACCATTGGGAATAACCGGTTAACCAATACAGGACGCGAAAGAGAAAGTGCGACGAGCAAAAAAACCAAAAGCAGCGAAGACGAAAACGAAAACAAAGCAAAAGCTTGTGGTAATTATATAATTATTCCGATAGGAATATCTCCTCACGAACGCTTATATTAAGGGAAAACATAGAAAGGAACGTTCTGGGGTAGCAAAGAAAAATCCAAAGGCCAAGGCAATGAAGGCCAAAATAGGCAATGGCAAACCAGGAGTTGTAAGAGCTGCAATGACTGAAAAGGACGCATCGAAGGAAAAGTTTATGGAGCTCTTAACACCAAACGGAGAACAGGAAGCTAATGCTGATAATGCTGATAAAGACAAGGGTCCAAAATCTCCCAGATATTATATTCTTGACGAGCTATAGTGGTCGCTGTACACATCAACTTTAGAAATTGAGAGATTTCTTTGTTTAACATGACCCTCGAGAAAATCATCATTTTCATTAATCTGTTTGAACAAAAGACTATTCTTAAACATCAAAAATGCGAGCAATTTCCCGAATAAAAATTAAATAAAGCTTTTTTTAAGGTCGCCAACATTTTGAGGAGTGGTGTCCTCAAATTACAATCGGCCAGCGGGCCGACTGCATCTCAAAGATCACGCTGTGCCAGAATGATTACCTGAAGTCATGTTCTGTGCTTTGATTGTCGCAGACTAAATTCAAGAATTGCACAAGATTTTGGAGAGCAGTGGAAATCGGGCTTGCTTACAAAGAGGGCTCGGCACGCGTTGTTTGAAGCATATTCTCAAAAACGAAGTCCTTTAGAACTTCGCAAAATTAAGGAGTTCTACTTTGACGTCAAAATCAGCAAGAAAGCCCATGTTTAATCAATACGACACAGACAACGTAAGCGCCGTGGAAGCGGCCAAAGTTAAAGAGAGCGAACACCGAACCAGACCAACAGTTTATCTATAATATTATTCTACTGAATGGAAATAAGAGAATTTTCACACAATGCGAATGAACACAACGATGGCACAAGACCATTACACTAGGTATGGATGGCTAGTTGGGTATAGCATCAGTCTATGGTCTTGGAGGGGTACCTCGGGCATCCAGTCGGTATCCTCCTTCTAGCTCGACTCCTCTAGGCTTGGTACGGGTATTCCCCCGCTTGCGCTCTCGGTGGCGGCTTATACACCATACTGCGGAATGCGTATCAATCTCGCATCTATAACAAGATTTTATTTCAAACAAAACTTACTCTCTTATGGCGATAGATTCAGCTGCGGTCTTAGCTCCCTCTCAAACGTCAGAACGCGTAAAATTCTCAGGTAAAAACTACTTGTAAGCTTGACTGAGTCATTCTAGGTATCTAAAAACTGCTATGTGTAGACTAGAAAGGGATTAGAGTAAACATGGAAGCCGGAAAAAATGTAATCAAAACTGCGTGCGTAACCACGAGTCCGCGTCATCGTCCAGGTCTCACAAATGTCCTATCTGAGAAGCTTATTCAAAAAGTAAGCAAAGGTGCCGAGCGAAGAAAGCATGTTTAATCCTAGCCTGCAGGTTCTCAGAATGTTCAATATAGCAGAACAATGAACAGACTGTATGTAATGTAGATGTCATATTGTAATATCTATGTTCATCGATGTAAAATCTACAAACCAAGTAAATTTTACGTTGTGCAATCAGTTGCAAAACTCATATTGCTCGTTGCTGTCACTGCCATGGCTATTGTCATTCCATGAGATATATCCAAACGACAAACCACTTATTTGACCAAAAACAGATCAGCCATCTTTTAGGAAAGTGTTCGAAGGCAACAGAAACACTTTCAAGCCAAAACGCATTTTTCTTTGAGAGCAACCGTTTGCGTCCCATCGATATCTTTAATAGCTTGTGCTCAGGAAGCTTTAAGTAACTGATAAGCCATTGAGCAAAGCTTTGGGGAGTGATGTTCCATTTTTTACACCTATTCCTGCATTCCTGCTGCATGAGTTGTTTGCTCTCAAAATCTCTACTCGTCGTCATTATCAACTTCACCTTGTCTGTAAGACCACATAGTGCTGAGGAAAGCTCTACTGTCACAGAAAAAGAACAAACAACGTATGCAATCCGTCTTAGTCTTGCATATTTTCTGATCAATATGAATTCCAGATCTCGCCAGAAAAGGTCTCAGATAGTTTCGTCGTCAGGGTAGGTATTACACTTTACTGATTTAAAAGCATTTGCATTTTTTCCTCGTAATATAGTGTATAACCTCCCTCCACAGTGCTGTCATAGCCGTGAAATCAACATATATTTCCCTTTTCTTCGCTTTCTTGTTGCGCAAAGCGTGTTTTTTGGAGGAAGAGAAGGTGAACTCACTTATGAGAAGGAGAATCCCTCTTGCCTGGAATCAGAGAAAAGATTAATGTTAAGCCCGCTGGGAAAGCTATCTATGCCAATGACGCCAATGACGCTGTTTTCAACGCCGTGCTAACACTGTGCTGGAGCATAGGTCGTTTTATATGATAAGCGCGTTTACATGCGTTTCGGTATGACGCTAACACGGTACTGACACTGCAGGCACACAGGCAATTCTGAAGGCTGCCCACACAATTATCGGCTGGCGGCCGCGTCAATTTCCGGGCCAAAAAATTTCAGCCGCTGGCATCCGCCCGAGTATGCAAAAGCGAAGGGTACACAGAAATGCACCCTTCAAATTGTTCTTGTTGCTGGCTTTTAAAGAAGTAAGTTTCTTGAGTATATTTGCAGAAGCTTTTAACAATTGCTATCTGATAATCTTCAGAGGCTACGTTACACCAAATGAGTCTCCTATACGGGGATACTGAACTCCCTTTCATTTAACTGGCTTGGCGGCTGGAAGGCGAGACTTTGTGACCCAATGGGGCTGCTCGCATCCGCGACGCAGTCTACGACTCCTTCGTGAGTTTGCTCTCTAATCATCCTTTAGTCTTAATTAGATCGAAGCAAGCCTCGCCTTCCAACCGTCAATCCACTTGAATCAAGAGGTACATCGATTTGCGAGGAATTCCTAGGAGTCGTTTACGATTTATTATATGTCACTCGTTTCGGTTAAACTCGTAAAACGGAATTCTATATTTCGATGTTACTTGATTATGGAGCGCCATGGTCCGTCTTTGAATCCGTCATATTGCTATGACCATTTACTAACGAGACTGCTTTCGGTATCCATTTCTGACCGGATCATTTGATAAAAAAGCGAATCTCCAACGTATGCTTAACTCATCACTAAGGTTTCATACCGTAGCGGCAGTCTCATCTAGGCGGATCAAATGTGTTATGTTGTATGCTGTTCTTTTGATTTTTTGTAATAACAGAAATTTCATGCATTTCTTGATTTGCCACTGTTGCCTGTAAATGCTTCTATCATATGCAATCATCCGTTTTGTCAATGTATCTAGCAAGCATTGTAAAGTTATCAAATATTAGGGGGGGGGGACCGAAAGCTCGTGTCGTTTTCTAGACCTACCCTAAAATCATTCGGATAGCGACAGACACACATTCTGAGCGTTGTTCTATGCAGAATATCTTTTTCTTCGCAGCAGCGATGTTTTTGTTAGGATGCCTTCAATGTTCTTTCAAATCATCGCCACAATCTCCAACCCAAGCATTTTACGTAAACTAAACTTATAGGCTGCTGCATGACGAAGGCGCAATATGTTTGGGTGCGAACGCGGTCTCATTAGTCTCGCAGAGCACATGAGGTGTAGAAATCTAGCGGTGAAGACATGCGAGCATCGCATTCGCTCCCGCTCAACTAATACTGCATTTGCGCCTTCGTTATGCAGTAGCCTTCAGCTGTTTTTTGAAATTTTCGTTTCGCACTTTTGTTAAAGCTTTGATAACAGTTAGAAGGGGTAAACAAAATGCTACTAATCGTAAGCCAATTTTTTGGCATTGATAGCTGGCTTTAGTATTTTTAGGAACAACTTTTAGGATATACAAACCTTCAAAACTTAAAATCTTTGCAACTTGAAACCTCCGAGTATCGAGTATGATTGAGCTCTAATTTCAGCAAGCAAATGAGTTTCTACCGCCTTCAAATACTGGTTTTCAAGAATTTTCGGGTTAGCCTGATACGCATCAAAAACTAAATTTATCGCAATCCTTTCCTCGAGTCATATACAAATCAGAAATAGAATATATTTGCCAAAAAGAGTAAAAGAAGCTGCATCGAATGAATGTCCTACGAAGTTTGAGACAAAGAAATATCAGATTTGGTCATCAAAATGATGATTTTAGAAAATTTGAAACGCCGACTGTCGATGCTTAAAATTCAAATTACACTACATTTTGTTTACTCCATCCAAATGTTATCAAAACTTATTCAGAGGTCCAGAACGAAAATAAAAGAAAAACAGAAATTAGGGCAGGTAAAAACTAAGGATTGAAGATTCTGACGATTATGACGATTATTTTTAATGCGAGAATCAAAGGATTCCTAACAAACACATTGCTGCTGGAAAGAGGAACTTTGCATAAACACTTTGTGGGTTTGTCTATTTTGTTCTGAATAATATGATGATAGGTTCGAAAAACGACACGAACTTTCAGACCTACCTTATATTTTTAAGAAGGATGAAAATAGAAGAAAAAGGGTGCCAGAGTCTAAATTTGACAATAAAACGTGCCTCGAATCGATACAGCGCCAGAAAGTCAGACTGCAGCGCGACGACGCTACAGCTATCGGCTGATGGTCTCACCATTTTCTGCTCGCGATCATTCCATGACCGGCCGGCAAGCGGCGGGAGGATCACGATTTGTTTTGCTAGATGACTTTCAGCCAGTTCGGCCGGTGCGGATGTCTGACCGGCTGAGTTCGCCGGCAACCGTCTCGGCCAAAAGACGGTGTTGCCCCGGCCAGTTTGCCCTGTCGCAGGTCGGTAAATGTGCTTGAGTGCCTCACGGCTTCGCGCTTAATTACTAGATTTCCTAAAATTGCTGGCTAAAGTTAGTAACCCAGTTTTTGCAACTATCGCTGGATTCCCTCTCTTCATATGTCAGCTAATGCTTCCATTTATAAAGAAGCAAACGCTGCATTTATCTGTCACACTCCACATAGATAGGATTTGGTTTTATTAGCAACTGCGATTGACCACTCAGTTTCGAACAGCAGTTTAGGTAGACGCTTATGCAAATTATGCAACGATCAAAATATGCTAATACTTCTCTGAAAAGTGCGAGCGCTGAGGAATTTGTTGATGCTTTTAGATGTGCTTTGACTTTTCCCAAAGTGAGTAAAACAGAGCTTAGAAGTCGAATTCAAAGTAGAACAATTTTCTTATTGACCTAACAAATGCTTTTCTATCAGCTTCATACATAGCCTCAGCGAGGGTTGAGAAAGACTGAGGTACAGATTCGCACGGTTGCTCCTACAGATTTGTCGCTTGGGCTAAATATTGCGCAGTAGCTCCAATTATTCTTAAAATGATGCAACCAGAATGTTCGAGCTGCTAAATTTTCCTACCGAGCTTGGTTTTTTTTCTCACCGAGGCGTAAGGTTCACCACACTGTGAAAATTCTCTTCAAACTCGATCACGCAAATCTTGTGCGCGCTCGGACAAAGGCACTATTTCCCTACCACCGTTGGACGCAGCATGCCGCACGCTGTTCTACCACCGCTCATTTTGGATACAGTCTGCCTTGTAATTGTCTGTTATCAAAAATCCAAGAATCTGTGCAGCTCATACGAAAGCTTTGACACACGATGGGCCTATTTCATGGATGTGATGTTTAGCAATTGAAAAGTTGTGATGTAATCTTCTACCTTTGTAGAAGATTTCATCAGGAATTTTGCACCATATCCAACAAAGGATTGAAACACACTTTCAGCATAAATCTCATCTTTTGCCACTACTTTAGGGTCTGAGCGCAACACATCGTGTTCTACCTCGAGGGTTTTTTTTATAAGAAAGGACCTTGAAAAATCCTTGAAATTCTGATAAAACAAATAACTCCTGGAGCGAACGGGTCAGAAAACGTTTTGAATAATGAAAGAAAAGCAAAATCGCAACGCGCGTTGCATATACCTTGACCTTGGGCTTGTAGCTCCACATCAATGTATAAGTGCCCGAGGGATTGTAGCCTTGAATGAAAATGGAACTTGTTTGAGGTGCTTGTAACATATAATTATCCGCCCAAAAATGGGTTTGACGCACAATGGGTCCTGTAAAATTGGTTTTTTGCTGCTATTCTGTTTACTGCTATTTTCTTTTGAGTGGCCTTAAAGGCTTCTCAGTTGCTTTGCGAATGCAAACGCTTCGAAGTCTAGAAAGTGAATCGCATTCTTTATGACGAGCATTAAACGAGAACGCAACAGGTGACGATAATATCTTCCTTACTCTCAGCAAAATTTCTGAAATAATACCTATGCGGCAATTTCCGTGCAAATGCTATGTTAAATGTGTTACGTGCCCTTAAGCATTGTGGTATGCTCTCGTAGTATAAAAGTCGGAGGTTTACCATAAGAGACTACAAGAGAGACCGTACGCCCACTTAGCGTAAGAACTTCAAACGTCTAAGTGGTTGAATGCTCGATCTTGGTCCAGAAGACATTTGCAAATTTTTGAGCAGGATCTGGCCGGAAGCAAATGTTAGCAGAAAAGTGTGTGCTCAAGAAAATGCTCTTCGGTTGTGGAGAAAAAAATTTAATTGTTAGACTTTCTTTTATATATGAGATACTTCTGATTAGCTATAACACTCATTTGCGCTTACGAGATACAAGTGTTATTAGTGACATACAAAGCGAAAGACGTGGCTATTCAAAGGACATGCAAGGCATAGTAATTTAGATTGAAAACTCAAGAAGAAATTGAGTAATATTCGTCAATCATGCCAAGGTTCAAAGAAAGGAGAACTTTTGAGTTTGAAAACTCACCGTTTTTTTTTTTCGTTTAGCATTTGTAAGGCAAGCAGCATTGCTGATGCTAGGCATCAGCAATGCTACTACGCGGCGAAGTGAGAAGATCCTCAGAGTGATGTTTTAGAACGTTGATATTGGCGGTAATGCTTGTGGCTTTGATCATTACTGGCTGTATCGTATGCGCATCATTGTGGTTGCTATCTAGAAGAAGAAAAGGTACTAACCCATGCAAAAACAATACCTAACATCGAGTTCTGATTTTAGCCATCGTTCCTCCGCCAGAAATAGAGGTGACATGTTTTCGCTAGATGATGTCGTATTGTAAACGTATCTTTCATCTTAAGGGACCTCCTACGCCACAAAAAATAAATTCCGAGATTATTAATCTTGAAGAGTTTCAGGATACTGGACCGTTGGTGATGCAAGCGAGATTAAAAGGCCGTCTGGTAGTCACTCATCCAAATTTAGCCATCAAAGTTCGCGTAATCATGACTGCTTCAGAGACATGCTTTGGATAACGAGAAATCCCATAGTCTCAAAGAGGTACAGTTTGATCCCAAACAAAATGAGATTTGCCTGATTGGATCTGATGTTGAGCAACTAGTAGGAGTAAGCGTATCGTTCAGGCTATTTTACAAAAATTAAATTCATTTGCTGAGCTACTCAAGTTTCCAGATGTCACAACTCTCGCTGATGTCCGGAGAAAAATCGGCGGAAGCTGCAAAGGTATGGTTATGAAACTGGTTAATCACAAAAGGCTTCTTTAAGGCATCGAAAAAGAAAGCTCCTGTAACTATGGCTAGCGAAATTAAGAAGGCGCAGGCAGCTGTCAAGGAAGCACAGCGCGTAGCTGAAAACGAGAGGATGATTGCCATATGTGCCAAACGACGTCGCGCAAAGGAAGAAGCTCAACGAGCAGCGCAGGCCAAAGCCGCTTTAGAGGCTCAGAAAAAAGCAAGATCAGATGAGTCTAGATCTAGTGGGCAAATTTCAGACAGCTCAAAAACTGTAGTGAAAAAAGGAACAACAAAACCCGCACCATCTCCACAAATGCGATCAATAAAAGAACAGTTGACCCAAACTAGCACAGTGGGCCATAGAAGAGAGATGGAGCATATCCGACCGCAACCTGCGATTACTTCGCATTACGCGCGTAGAAGTGAAATATCTCCGTCACAGTTTGCGAGGCCGACGACAAGTTATACGACTCAACGTACAACTTATCCATCGAAGTCTTACTACGACGAAACAGATGGTATTGGTTTCAAGTATCAAGGCAAAAAAATGGACGTGTCTACATCGTCTACAAGTATAAGTACAGCTTCTGCTCCCCGAAGGCAGCCAGAATCCGATGAGGAGCTGAATTTTCTTGATGCTCTATAGCAAAAAGACATTGACTTTGTTCTCTTACATGGCTTAAATTTTTACATGCATATGACTTACTTCTAAATAACAACAGCAATTCCTGCAGCATTTTATGTTTTAATGTGTAACATAGTACATGAATAAAATTGTTTGAATAGAGTGACAAGGAGGCATATTCAAATGTAAAAACTATCAATTTATTTCTTAATACAATGCAAGATGTGCCATTTCAGAGTACCCTCTCCTCTTGGAAAGTGTGGGTTAGAAATAGTGCTTATATTCAGTATGACAGAATATGGAGAGTAATTGATGATGATGTGATATAAAGTTTGCATTTTTGAGGGGTGGTATTATTCTGAAGTCGAAAAAAGATTTGAAAACTGACAATTTGACACTTTGACACTCGAGCAGGCACCCAGGCTTTTCCGCAGGGGAGTCGCTTGAGTAGCCGCAAGTATAGACTGAAAGTATATTCGAGAAACTGATTAGATACCCATGAAAGTTATTTGTATCTTTATGTGCGTATTGCATGTGTGTAAACCATGAGCGTTACTTGAAGTATTCGTAAGATCAAAACACGCCCAATTCCAGTGATTTCCTTTCGTTCTTCTGCTTATTTTGATCTGATTGGATATGTATTAGCTTATAGTGGAGGCTCTTACAGTTTGTTACGCTAAGTTGCTGATAAAGCGTCGTCGGTCGCCGTGTGCTGGCTCACATATATCTGTAATGATGTTTATGTGAGGCTTTTCTTTTTGTGTACGATGCTGGTGATGATCTTTGTAAAAAGAAAAGATTCTGCATTGCGTGTTCCACTGTTCATGAATGGCGACATTGAAAGTATCGTTATGGATATAGATGAAGACGACCGATGGTCAATTTCTGTTATATTTTTTCACTTCATTTCCCATGAATCTTGGGAGCTTTCGAGAAATCTCATGTTACGACCTGTGAGCAGGATCAAAAGCTTATTTGTCGATACCGTCGCGTCCGCGGTTTATGCGCAAAACACCCACTTTGTGGCCAAAAACCAGTTTCTTTCATTTTTGTAAAGACGAAGAGAGACGGGATGACAGGCATGTCTACACGCGAAATTAGCCTTTAGACAGTGCACGCCATCATTGCATTCATTGACATTTTAACAAAGAAAACGCCTTCAAACGAATTCGAAGAGCAATTTACAAGCTGTGATTCATTTCTACACGATACACACAAAAAAAAAGAATTTAGGAAAGTTTTTGAATTTATATCTACTTAATGTATCTTCCTGGTTTACAAATCGCTAAATGCATTGAAAGCTTCCATGTAAAAGAGGGTGCCAGAACATTTTCAAAAAATTATAGAAGAGGAAAAGCACACTCGTGTGCGGAAAAAATATGAAGAATAATTGAGAATTTGAGTCTGTCCGAAAAACTGCCGTTTCGTTAGCTGCGGCAAGTTATGATGATGAAAGCATCTGCTATGTGTTAATTGTGTCGCAAATTTGGAGTTTCCAGAAAGCTTCTGAAATTTCCAGAGAAAAGTCAAAAAAAAGTGTAACAGAGATTATCCGACAACCTGATAGCTTCTTATGGCAGAGTTTACGGATCTACCAATGGCGGTCCCAGGATTTGAGTTTTTAAGAAATTTACCAATGGCGGTCCCAGGATTTGAGTTTTTAAGAAATTTTTAGAATTATTTCAATTGTTCGTTATACAAGTTACTTGCCCATTTTTATAAGTCATGAAAGTAACTCAAAAATTTCGTGACTCATTCTCGAGGAGGGGGACCTCCTTTTGGAGCCCAGAAAATTGAGTACGTAGCGTTTTCACTGAAAGACTTAACCATGCATTTTGGGTCTGTGCATTTCAAAAATAATATTGATTTTGTTTACTGAGAACCGCATTGCCTCCCTCTCGCTTGCATTTGATTCTCTCTGATAACTTTCAAGGCTAAGTCAAAGTTGCGATTTATCGATCATTTGGGATGCGTTTTATGCAAGAATGCAGACATAGTGACAACCATTTGTAGCTGCAAACAGCAAAATTTTCGAAACTATTTGCAAATTATTTCCAAACAAAAAAAAATGAGTTTTTGCAGAAGTCTTTGATTAGCCGATTCGTTTTCACTACAAAAATTACTGCGATCTGAAGCTTCCAAGGCTTCAAGTCATTTAAATTTTTCATATTGAAGAAAAATTTGAAACTTGATAGTGTTTGGCTTATTGTAAATCTCCTCATGATACTTGATTTTTTTCTTTAATCGGAGCCGTGTCCATTTCTTTTTTTCATCTATTTATGCATGACTTTGAATATTCCTAAAAAAATTTTCTGGGGTTTTGTCCGAATTTTAGCATTTGAGCAAGGTTCCAAAAAAAAACGTTGTGGTCACCAATAAATTACTTTCTGATATCGGCAAGGTTTTTCTCTTCTGTTTGAGCCTAATTTCACCTTCGTACAATCATTTTAAAGATTTTTGGCTAAGAGCCAGTTTCAGTGATTTGAAGTTCATCCACCACAATAATCCAGAGCGTCTCAGAAGGTGTCCATAACTGATTGTTCATAACTTTATTGCCGTAACGTCTTTCGCCAAACTAAGGTGCTAATCAGTAAAGCTGGCTTCAGCTTAAATTTACGGTATGAAGCGGGTTACCGATCGGTCCTTCCTAGTGTAGGATGATCAAGGTAAAAACTTCAAACTCGTCGCTTATCACAGTGCGATTCTTATTACGACATGCTCAACAATTTCATATCATAACTAGGTATATGAACTGCATCAGCGGTCGCTCTTCTCTCATATCTTCAGGAACACATGGGAAAGGCACTCATCACTACAGGTGATAAATTGACACTTTCTTATCCATGAGAAAAGTTTCTATAAAATCCCAGCCACAATTCCATACCAATATCGTGTTGATTACAAAAAAAGAATTGAAAGGTGAAGGATGTAGCTTAAGGTATTTTTGCCGGCTAATGGTGGTGAGCTTTTGGCGCGAAGGACAAAACAAGGCTGATACAGGGGCAGAGGAAATAGTCGGGAGACCTATGCACATTACGCGATAAAAGAACTTGAACCGGCTTGATCTGCGAAACTGTCACCAGAGGTGCTGAGGAGCATCTGCAACATTTTGTGGTCGGATGAAGTATGGCTAATCCGCCGTCAGCCAGGAAGACAGTGCGGCAAGTTGTTCGTGAGCTTGCTGTGTCAAAGTCTTCCTTGCGCAGAATACCAAAGGTTACAACAGGATTAGCTGCATCCCAAGATTAATCCAATCACCAATTGCAGCAGAACATCTCCCAGACGACTCAGCTTTGCAGATGGCCTGTAAAACTTTTCTGGACGCATCCTTTACTAACAAACCTATCTGAACCGATAAGGCAACAGTTAGATGAAATGGGTCAATAGGCAGACTTGCTCATACGGGCTCAGAGAATCACACATTACTTCGCCAAGACTCTTTTTCGAAGCCGCAGTATTGGATGGTATTATCACCTGTCACCTGTATCACTTGTATTCCCGCTGTTCATCGTGTTGCAGAGCGGGTACCAGTAATGCCTCCATTCGTCCCTGTCGCGGGCGATTGTTGACCAGAGTCTGCGTATCGCACCAGGAATATGTGAAACGCTGAAAGTTCATTAAAGGACTTCGTGAACATATCTGACCATCGTGCCGGCGGTCTTCCTCGTTCGCGTTTGACGTCCAGTGGTATCCAATGTGTTACAGCTCTCGTGCACCGATTCGTCAAAACGCATCAGGTGTCCGGCCCATCTTAATCTGTTCCGCTTGCGTATGCGGCAACGTCTGATTTTCGATCGTTGACGTAAAGTGAAACTTCATATTTCTTTTCTCACTTGGGTGAGTCGGATGGTGTTATAGGACGTTTGAATACGGTTTACTCAGAAAGATGGATTGAATGGGGTAGAAGAGGGAATTTATTTCGCGTTGCCTGGAACTTATCCAAGTGGCCGTAGTCACCAGCAGATAAGCGTAAACCCTACCTTTGATGGTAAGATTTACCAAACAAAGCGATGGATCTGTACTCACGAGACACACAGGGCGCGCCTAACCGCAAGGTTCAAGCATGCTCTGGAGGAGGACCTTACCCCGAAAAGCCATCAACACGTATTCATCAATGAACTTTGAGGGTAAACCCTTCCTTTAAGAATAACTCATACTCCACGGAAGCTCTAATCCGTATTTATGAACGTGGTTTATCATGGTATTTAACTCTAGGAAAAAGGTTGATCTTACACTAACAGCAAGCACATATCGAAGACTAACATTATCAAATGTTTTATGTTATTTCGAATTCCTTATGTTTTTTTTGTCTCGTGTCTTATAGAATCGTATCTTCATCTTATAGAATTGCGACAAAACTTTTTCATCAGTCAGATTGACGTAGTTAGTTGAGCTACGAAAGTATGGCCGTGTATCAAATCTACTAAACATATATATATATACAGGGTGTCCGTAAAGTATGTATACACTTACGATATATGATGTTAAGCTTTCCAAGATTGATAGTTCCTTCCTTTATTGCCAGTAACAGTTAACAATCAGTACGGTCTGATTGTTAACTGTTACTGGCAATAAAGGAAGGAACTATCAATCTTGGAAAGCTTAACATCATATATCGTAATTGACACTATGCCAAGATTCAGAAATAGTCGAACGTGGAATATGTATACACTGTTTGATCGTTGATATCTCTTTTCCCAAGAAGTCCTTTGCCTTGCATCAGGTACTATTTTGTAGAGCCGGCTTCAACTTAGATTTACAGTATAGAGCGAATCACCCATCTCTCTTCATTACTGTAGGATTACGGTGGAAACTTCAAAGAGGGTTTTGAGCCATGAAAGCCAGATTTTGCCTCAGAAAAGAGGCAAAACAGCCTGAAAACTTTTATACTAGACTACTTGGAGTTGCTGATTTTAACTGTAAAGGTCATAACTTATTATGCTGCTTCATTAAAGAGTTATGCCGGGTAAGAGTTAGCGGCCATTTATTCAATGTTCCTAAAAAGTGCGGTTACACGGTTTAGAAAGCTTCGCAATCTTGTGAGTGCTTGAGTATTGAACTCAGCGTCCATAAAAACCCTATTACACAATTTTTCACGT